TTATATACTGGTAGTCTCATATTTGGTGGCCCACGCGTGAAATTGAGTGACGTGGTTTACTATTCTTGCACCTATAATATCTTTATTTCCAAACATGGCCACCCCATAAGTTGTCGTGTAATGTTTACATTATACGCTTACACATATTCGGACACAACTGTACGAATCTTACGCTTGCTTACCTCATTTTGATGAGCATAACACATCGCAAATTACTGTCTTGGTTTTGGCTGCAAATTTCCAATATTTTTAACAGCATCGTGTTTGAGTTTCTTCCGCAATCAGACAGCCATCTTTGTACTGTAACTTGCATTTGTATTTTACAGATAAGCTTGTTTCTCCATTCTCTTTTGAACAAATATCTGTTTTGAGTGTAGAATAGAATCGCGATCTGAGTATTCCATAGTATAGTAAATTTCTTTGATTGTGCAGAGTATTACTTTTGTGAGAAATAAACACAGCCAAAGTATAAAGTTTAACTCCTTTGCTTTAGCTGTTTGTTCAAACTTTCAGAAAACCACTCCTTAATATTTTACATAATAATAGAAAATATGTTTTGTTCTCGAGGCCTTTAGAAATCAAAGCTATTGTTGTTAAGCACATGAAGATTTGATCTCCTGGGAATTCATAGTGCTATATGCATTCACATTCCAACAATATCTTCAACAATATCTTACGGTTTCGTTTTTTTAATACACCCTGTATATTTTACAGATCCGCCAATGTGATCTTCATGTTATTCACTTATTGTTTCGTCTTCAGTGTATCGATGAACAGAAAAAGCCTTAGAAAATTATTTCACTTTGAAGTCATTTTAATATTTTAATTGTTCCGTCATTTGCGATCCATTGACTGGACTGTTCTATTGTATGAATGTTCTATAAAAATATGTTTTTTTAGAATATCTAAAATAACTCAAAACATGCAATAAGTGATTGGTTGCGTGGAGAACAGCGAGATTTCCAAAACAATGAAAAGAAAAATGAATATCACTGGATCATGACTGGATTCCTCGGAGCCCGCCAAAATCCTGCCCGCAGCAAATCAGGCCCCCCATAAATTTGAGGGCACTGCCATTTGAGGGTTACTGGCACTATGCTAAGGGTGACATAAAAATTTACAAAATATGGCTTGTACGAGAGTTGTCTCCGCTGCTTCTCGCGTTCACTGAATAAATACTTCCTGATCCCTCTGAAAGACTTTCCTAAAAAATAAAGCAGAGCCGTTGTTAGCTTGCGTTAAGACAATGGGTCTTGAAATAACATCACAAATACGTCGTGTGGAAAACAGTAGGATTTTCAAAACAATGAGAAGACAATGCAACATTCGATTACTGAGTACTCTTGCTGGGCTGGTTGTTCAAAGGTGGGTTAGTGCTAACCTTGGGTTAAAATTTAACCTGCTGTTTTAGTTTGTGTATTTCTACACATCTGTTAATTTCAAAACTTCAGAGAAGTAAACTGCTATCGATCCAGACAAGATTTCTGAAGCAAAAATTCCAAAGTTATAGGCAAGCTGCCAAGGAGTTTGCTTTGAATATTAAGTTAACCTAGGGTTAAGCTAATCCAGCTTTGAACAACTGGCCCCTGGAATTTTTGTCATGCTAAGTGCTACCGAGGGCGGGGAGGGGTACACAGCTGATTAGAATAGTGATATTTTATAAACCACATTAAACAACTTACCTTCCAGGCTAAGCCTTGAGCCAGAGAATAATTTAGTTCCCTCTTTGAGTCGCCAATACTTGGCAGAACGCTCTGTAGACTGACTGGCCGTTTCTTGAGGGGAAATTTCTTGAACGCAGAGTAACGTCTTTTTACTGTCAATTGACGACGTGTAGCTAGTGAAAAAGAACAAAACGAGAAAGTTGTTTGAGAAAAACACGTCGACTTTAATAGGCCCTTCCAAGGTTAAGGACGCCATCTTGAATATATTGTTTTCACCATTGTGTTTGAACCCCTTTCAAATTTACCTATAGGGGAATTCCATTGTGTTTCCACCCCTGCACTATTGTGTTTCATTATGGCGTCGTTTTTGGGAGGGTTTGATCCAAAAAATAAAATTGTGAGATGCAATTTAATTTCTTTGCTCTAACAAGTGTTAACACTCCTGAACGTTGAACACCAGCAACCCAGCAAAGACTACTTACGTGGTAGTTTTTCGGCTTCTTGTTCAGCAGAATGAGCATCATAGCGTCGTGTAAACCCAGCCCAGAATGGCAGCAGTTCTTTAAGTACAATATTCTGCGCATCATCGAATACTGCGCAATCTCGTTGATCGCGCGACTGTTTGCTACGGGCGTGAATTGACTGCGCTTTATGGACAGTACGAGCTGCTAAATCTGAACTGATGTCGATCTAGAATAATAATATAATAATAGCTTATTTAAAATCGATTACACAGAATGTGCTTGCCCAATTCACCGCAGAGGTCCGTGATACAAATTCTTGACAACTCGTAAAAACGCACAAGTTTGTTACAAGTCTGTTCACAAGCAGTTAACAAGATGTATTCGCACTGCTTGTCACAACAAGTTGTTCCAAACCTTGTTCAGGTTTGAAACAACTTGTTGACAACTTGTAACAACCTTGTCGAAATTATCAGACTTGTTGCAAAGTTGTTCTGACAAGTCTGTGACATGCTTGATATAACAAGATTGTTACAACCTTGTGTTGACAACCTTGTAACATCCTTGTTATATCATGGCTGTAACAAACTTGTTAGCATAATCTTGTAACCAGGCTGATAATGCCATCAAGCTTGTTACAAGTTGTTAACAGCTTGTTTCAAAATTGTTACAACAAACTGGGAACAAGCAGTGCGAGCACAACTTGTTAAAAGCTTGTGAACAGATGTGTAGCAACTTGTTTGCAGACTTGTTACAACTTGTGCGTTTTTACGTGTGTACACAAGTAAAAACGCACAAGTTGTTACAAGTCTGCAAACAAGTTGTTACAAATCTGTTCACAAGCTGTGGACAAGTTGTGTTCGCACTGCTTTTCCTAGGTTGTCAACAAGCGTGGAACAAGCTGTTAACAACTTGGAACAACCTTGTTGATTTCATCAGACTTGTTGCAAGGTTGTCCCAACAAGTCCGATGTTGGAACAGCATTGTCAAAACTTGTTAACAAACTTGCTACAAACGCGAAAAGTCGTGTTGACAAGTTGTCGGAACATCATTGTCACGACGTGTTAACAAGCTTGCTACAAACCTATTGCAAACACATTTTGTTGACAAATTGTTGGAACAGCATTGTCACAACTTGTCAACAAGCTTGTTACAAGCCTTGTTGACAAATTGTTGGAACAGCATTGTCACAACTTATAAATATTCAACGTCATAAACATCTAAGTTGAATGTTTATGCCGAAGATATTCAGCGTCATAAACATCTAAGTTGAACGTTTATGCCGAATATATTCAACGTCATAAACATCTAAGTTGGATGTTTATGCCGAACATATTCAACGACATAAACATCTAAGTTGAATGCTTGTTAATTAACAAGCTTGCTACAAACCTATTGCAAACACATCTTGTTGACAAGTTGTTGGAACAGTATTGTCACAACTAAACAATATTGTTACAACCTTGTAACATTCTTGTTATATCATGACTGTATCAGACTTGTTAAAGCAACCTTGTAATAAGTGTGACAATGCCATCAAGCTTGTTGCAAGTTATTAACAGCTTGTTCCAAACTTGTTACAACAACTGGGAACAAGCAGTGCGAACACGACTTGTTGACAACTTATGAACAGATTTGTAACAACTTGTTTGCAGACCTGTAATGTTCAACGTGGGCTTTTTACGAGTGTAGGTTGGAGTAGTTCTCCAACCTAAGTAAATACCCTATCCTGGACAGTATCAAGCTTGTAGTATAAGGGCTCCGAGTATGATAAATTAGGTTATATATATATGGTGAGGTTACTGACCTGAACTGATGGTGGTGTTGCTGAATCAAGGAAACAATCCACTATAGCATCAACTTTCTTCAATAAGGTTGTCTAGGGAGAAATAAAATACAACATCAGTTATTTGAGGAATGTTTAAAGATACATAGTATCATTAGTTCGACCAATTTCAGGCAGGAGGAGCAGTAATTAGGAATGGCAAAAAGACACTCACGTCATCCATGTAAAGAAACAGATCCTATAAAAGATAATTTTTGATGAGTCTTGGAACTTACTACTTTTAATATTAAAATATTATCCGTTTTAATAGAGTTAACGGACCAAATTCTCAAAATTCGTATTGGCTGGATCAATCTATACATCATTCACACATCGTTTACATGTAAAGCTATAGTTGTATAAGTAGACTGGTCATCTCACATTGAACATAATATTCTTGAGTGCCTCAATCAGAAATCTCAATAGCTCAGAGCGTTGAACGTACGTTAAACCAGTGACCTTAGGTTAGATTATCGGTTGGGGTAATCACAAAAAATTTCAGCAATTGATACGAAACCACAAGTTTTCACACTGAGAGAACTAATATTATGGGAGCAAAATAGAGAAATTTGAAGCCATTACCCTACCTTAAATTTTTGAACTTCTAAATAAAATAGCAGGTCGTTTTCTAACTTCGAGACACTCTCCCCCTGTACATCATCGTTTGTATCTAAATATCTTCGAAATAGCTCGAGTCTGGGAGACAATACTCCATAAGTCTCACGAAGTTCGTTTACAAAGTCCGCTTTATCGTCTTTGGTTGGTTGTAATCGACCTGCTCCCTGAATAGGAAATAAAATAATGAACAAATCTTAGTTTATAGGTGGGGAGGAAGGGGCGTGGCACCAGGCAGGAAAAAAGAACTTTCTTCCTGGGAGCACAACCTGGAGACAAAAATTTCCTGCAGACCAGCGGAGTATTTTTGTGCTAAATCTGCATGTGCATAAACATGTAGTCTTCTAGCTGACCATGGTTTTAAATTCAAGGAATTATATCTGTCAACCATATGTTGCTGCGCCCACAGTGGGACATGGGTTTTAAGGTTTCCTTCTAATTTTGAATAGCAATATTGAATAATTTTGAATAGCAATTTGGTGGAATTGAACCCTGATTGAACTGGAAGGACTTCTCTCACCCTGCCGGAAACCGAGAAATGAAATGAGGAAATGGTCACCTTGAATTTGTTTCGCCTTCTTTTGTAATAAACAACGAAACTATTTGAAGTGAAAGGTGTTTCAGTTTTTCCACCAGTGCCAGCATGATGAACCTCGTGTTGAACGGCTGGCTTTAACAATTTATGCGACTAAATAAGGTAAATATATATATATTAGTTAGTGTCGCGGTCTTTCGAATATTGAATATAAAAATAAAGTGTTACTGTACCTTATAAAACTGTTTGAAAGAGACCTGAATTTCAGGCAGAAGATAATCTTGAGTTTCAGCTAGGATTGCAGTCGATGGACGTTCATCTTCGATTTGGAATGGAATACGAGCAGGAAGATCTACACATCTAAAAGGATGAGGGTTAAGATTAGCTTAAGATAAGTGCTAATATAAGGGTAAGGATTAGAGTTCTAAGAACCGTTGCATGGATGTTGATCTCACCAACCTGGAAACTATACGAACATCCAGGATGTAGACTATTGGAACGAAGAGCACTTCAGTAAGGGGAGTTAAGCACATCAGAGGCGAAGATGAGGGCTGACAACTCTCATGCCCCGGTCAAACGAGAACAAGAGTCGCATGAGAGTTGGATCAAAATTTGAACCTGCTCAAAGTCGATGAGAGTAATTGGAGTCAAACGCGAGCGAAAATGGAAATTGCATGGACTTTTATTGGACATAGAATAGGTTTTGGTTATCCATAATAATTGTATATTTGCATAGTATGGATATAGTATGGAAATAGTATGAAAAAAAAGTGAAATCCATACTACGAAATTTGCAATTGCACCACTAATTCCATCCAGTATATCCATACTATTTCGATACTATATCCATAGTACGGAAATATACAATTATTATGGATAACTAAAATCCATTCTATTTCCAATAAAAGTCCGTACAATTTCCATTCTATGATCTTCTATGGATTTTCAAATTTTTTTCCAGTGAGAGTTGCAACTCTAATCAAGTACCATCAGTGGCGGACACTTTGAGAAATGCAATATTGAAGGTGAAAATTTAGGTTTTCTATAGAGGCAACTTAAATTCGCCTTTCTTCCGTAGAGGGAAGAGCCTGTGCACGAAGTTGAGAACGAGGTTTACAACAATTGTCGAGCACTCACTTTCTTGATGATTGGTTAAAGTAATCCCTGCAAAGAAACAAAAATGAATGTAAAAAGTAGACCATTTGACTCCATTACAATAATTTAAATAATTACAGTCAAGTGTATTGATGGCAATCAAACTTACTTAAAGATTTGCGAAGCACGTTCCGTTCTCTGAACTATACTGCTTGAAGGGATTGATTTATATGTTTCTATGTCAAGATACATTGCAAGAATATTCATGGAATGACTGCCTTCCACATTTTGAACATAGTGCTTGAATGACGTCATTAGACTAGATAGAAAGAGAAGAAATACTTATATTTAGTTAGGAAAGTTATAGTTTTCCTCCTATAGTAACACTGGGCCAATAAGAGATGGCTCTTTCAGGACTTCAAATAATAATTGTATAATGCTTGTGATGTTACACTGAGTGTATATCCACAACGGGCAAGCTTGAAAAATATACCTGACCACGGTGGGAAGGCATATTTTTCAAGCTTGCCCGGTGTGGATATACACTCAGAGTAAGATCACAAGCATCATATTCACCTGAGTACATTACACCAACACAGAAAATAATAATAATTGTATAGTATAAAAATAGTTAGTGTAGGCTTCCTCCAGCAGTAAAACTAGATCAACAAATGAGAGGCACATACCTGCAGAAACTCTTAGTACAATAGATTAGTTTAAAAAACTTACTTTTTATCATTTAAAAAATTCCTAAATTCAGGTGGAGGTTTCTCCTCAGTCTTCTCCTTCGCCTCCTCTTCCTCGGCCTCGACACTATCATGGCGTTCTTTCAAAATTTTCGGTTTTTCCTTCTTTGCCTTAAACTTGACAGTTTTCTCCGGGCTTTGTGGCGGCTCTGACGTCCTCGATTTCAAGCGGCTTCGTTTCTTCTCTCCATTTGCGGTCGATTTCAGCGGCGAGGACAGACTCATGCGCGTTGTTTCGATATTCTCCGCAATTGTCATGGCAGTGTGAAGACGGCGTTGTCTTTCCGAGGGAGATGACTCTGGGTATCTGTGTCAGAAAAATGTTAGAGACATTAGATCTCGGGGCAACTGGTCTCGATGTGAAACTGGATCGGGGCATAGGGACAACTGGTCTCGATGTAAACTTATCGGATATACTGATTATTCTGAGGCGGAGACCATCATATTGTTTTGGGTGACAGGCATAATTTGCAGCACTCTCTGCATTTAGAACCGCATGTTTTACAAATCAATAACACTGGATCAGTAAGAGATTTCCCTTACTGGACATATAGGGAAAACAATATAAAACTGATAAAGCTTATATTCACTGGCAGTATAAATAAAGTTTGGTTAGCTTGGGTTTTCTCCTGTAGCAGTGCCCAAAAGAGAAAACAATTTAGAAGTGATGCAGCCAACAGTATACGAAGTAAAGTTTCTGAAAATCAGTTTCCAATTCCAATAAAATAGTTTCAACAAACCTGGGATACCACTTTCCAGGAATGAACAAACTCTGATATAAAGAACCAAGTTTACTGTCGTTCTTTGATACTGTCGATCGTTCTCCAACAGACATCTTCGCAGACCTGTGGAAACAAAAGACATAATTATATTACCAAAAGTACATAAACGGATCGAATCAGTGTAAGCAATGTCCTTCTCCAGGAGAATATGAAGAAGATTTTTCTGTAAAGAATCGACAGTTCATCTATATAATATATGTATACAATATATGGAAACAAACGTACGAAATATAACATGAATTCTTACTTTTTCAGTGTTAGTTTCTCATCTTTCAAATATTCTTCCCACGATGTTCCTAATACCTCAAGAGCGTATGTCTAGTAATGGTGCACAACACATGGTTAGAAAAACAAAAATATTCTTAAAATACACTGAAATGTATCTCACTGCAGAGCCGAATTTTCAAACATGAAATTCAATCCTACAATAAGTATGATAGGTATGCCTCTAATCAAGTAAATGAAAACGTCATAGTTACCTGTCCAGAAGTAAACAACGTAGAGGACACTTCCATACTCTGTCTGAGTTTTTCAATAACCTTCTGCTTGTCTAATTCACTCATGTTGATAGTGGATTCATTGCTCTCTACAATAGAGTCAAGGAATAGTAATATCAGAGTGCTGTTTGAAATCAGTTTGATTTGGTAAGGGGTGGTGCTGAGCGGGCGGTTATCATAGAAAAGGGCGTGACCGTGTATCAAGGTAAATTATAATATAGCATTTGTAAATTCCGAACGCTGATTGGCTAAGAGCTGTGTTGATATAACTCAATGTCAACACGGAAATTTCTTTCTTTATATTTCTTTGTACTATATTATAAAAAAAATAAAAAACTCATTAATAATTCATGAAGAAAACACAAAGAAAAATCATAAGCGTGTCGTATCTGTATATGTGATACAGATTCATGTTGATTTACATAAACTTTAACTTTGATTTTCTCAGCTTAGACAACGTTTATTTTTAAAATTACTTCGCCAATGAACTTATAAGATGAGTCGTTTTTTAAGTTGTTTACAACATTCGCGTCCGTGTTGTATCGGATATTCAAACTCTCGCCTTCGGCTCGAGTTTGTATATCCGATACAACACGGCCGCTCATGTTGTAAACATTACATATAAAACATTTTTTTCCGTATTGATATACAGTTATATCAACACTAGTGGAAATTTGGAAAACTCGAAATTGTGTGAAAACACTCCGCCCTTCGGGCGTCGTGTTTCCACACAATTTCTCGTTTCCCCAATTCCCACTCGTGTTGATATAACTGTATATCAACACGGAAAAAATGTTTTATATTTGTTAAATAAATCATTAATGTGATAGCCAAGGCAGTTCAGAGGAAACTACGTCTGGCCAGATGCCCAGATCTGATGGCTGTGCAGGTCAGGTACGGGTATGGGATGACCATCTAACAGATCTATCTCGAAGACACCAAAGGCCCAGGCAGAGATGGATTTGGTAAGGAAATTTGCGCTACAAGTATCTCATTTGCAAATGCCTGACCGTGTGTACTGCCTGTACCCTCAATATTCTCTCGCTGATAGTAAAAAATGGTAATTTACAGCTAAGATGATACGGTACAGGTTTCAAAAACATTCGTACCATTGGAAAGGAATCGTTTCACGATATTCCAAGCAGTACACAGATGCAAATGACGGTCACAGCCTCGAATTTCTTCATCTTTTAGATCCTCAATAGATTGCCAGAACAACAAGTTTGACAATTCATCTTTCTTTTTCCCTCTTGATAAAAAACAAACACAAACAACTGAGATACTAAATTCATAGTAAAATGGACTAATCATTGAACGATTGTGTAAATGAATGCAACTTACCTTTCTAAGAAATCACGGAAAGGCCAACCTGCGTCTTTTTCGCAAGACAAGCCGGTTAGAAAGTCGCCATAATTCTCCCTAGAATAAAATACATGCTTTATAGTGAAATCCTTATCTGGCTAAAAATTGTTCGATTTTATCACGATCTGCACATGTGGTTGCTATTGATCAATGCTCAAGGGGCCATTCACAAAGGATGTCCGGCCAAATGATGGATTTTCAGACCCCCCCTCCCCCCTTGTCCGGCATTGTCCGAATAAGTGACCCCCTCCCACCGGACATCCGCCATGCCTCGCAAAAACTTACGCAACCTTGTATATGTCAAGAGTAAAAAACTTTTTTACTTTTAGAACTTTTTTATAACTATAAATGTGAATACAAAAACATATAAATTACTAATTAAAACAGAATCTAGTATTAATTAACCGCATAGTCAAAATGCCAATTTCACAATGGGAAGGAGAGTTTAAAATAGAGGAAAAAGAAATTTGTTTTTGAATTTTTTTAAATTTTGGACATCCGGATTGCTAAAAACCCCCTCCTCCCCTATGTCCGAGTTTGTCCTGATTTTCCAAACCCTCCTCCCCCCCTCCCCTCGGCTCGGACATCCTTTGTGAATGGCTCCCAACCCAATATGGGTGACCACTACACACGTAAAAACGCACAAGTTGTTACAAGTCTGCAAATAAGTTGTTACAAATCTGTTCACAAGCTGTCAACAAGTTGTGTTCGCACTGCTTGTTCCCAGTTGTTGAAATAAGTTTGGAACAAGCTGTTAACAACCTGTAACAAGCTTGATGGCATTATCAGACTTGTTACAAGGTTGTTGTAACAAGTCTGATTCAGTTATGATAAACAAGAATGTTACAAGGTTGACGACACAAGGTTGTAACAATATTGTTATATCATGACTGTATTAGACTTGTTGAAACAACCTTGCAACAAGTCTGATAATATAACAAGGTTGTTACAAGTTGTTAACAGCTTGTTCCAAACTTGTTGACAACTTGTGACAAGCAGTGCGAAGACAACTTGTTGACGGCTTGTTGGCAGACTTGCTACAAGATGTGAGATTTTTACGTGTGTAGCCAGCGCAGTTTTTCCCCAGCATATTAATAGTTAATTGGGTCTCAATAAGGAATTTAGCGTACCACATCAAAATGAATTATTTCTATAACTGCTGAACACTGTAGCCTACCTTTCTTCGCCCATTGTATTTTCTCTCTTCTTCCTCTTCGACTGTAGTTTGACATCGGAAAGTGTTAAATTTTTCGACCAGTCACAGCTCCTTCTGGCTAACTCTGTGCACCACTCCCCACGCGGCGGTAGCGAATGAACAAATGAGATCTTCGGTAAAAAGCTCAATGTTGTTGCGCCGTCCGACTGCCTGGATTCCAGACTGCTTTCACTGAACCTGAAATACAGATAACTCATTGAAAAAAAATAAAACAAGGGTGGTAATCATCATTCCTGGCAACCGAGAGTTGAATTGTAAAGGGTGCAGGTCAAATATGAAAATTACAGTGAAAACAGTATTGTCTTACATTTCATCATTCGTCTTTTCTTTATGGACCAAAAATCTTGGAATCCAGTAAGATCTCAATCTGCGCAATGTGTCATATTGAGTTCTCGTAAATAAATCTTTGGTGAGCCCTTCGTGATTTAAAGCTTCTCGGATCTTTTGCTGAAGAAAAGAATATGTACAGTAGGTAGTTAGGTAGGTATAGGTAGGTAGGTAGGAAGTCAAATGATTCATGGGCACAAAAACTCATACAAACCTTGGCTTCCCCGGTCAAATGAGTCTTGTATTTATCATTGATTTCTCTAATTCACAACAGAAGAAAGACAACAAGAAATACTGTAGGTGTGTTTCACTAAGCAATGTCGTACAACAGCAGATGGTGGCACACTTAAAATTTGTTGTACACTGAGTATTTACGAGATCAGATGTAATCACAAAAGAGCACATACCTAAACAATTTTACCCTCAGCATTTGTAAAGTGTTTTCATTTTCAGCATTTGACTCTCCGAGGTCTTTGTATTCCTCCACATCAAGCCAGAAGTTGAAAAGATGAAGACCAGATGTTCCAGTTAGAAATTCACGAAATTCTCTCATTCCACAACTCTGTTTATTGACAGAAATTACGGGGAAACGTATTAATGAATGTTGGGCGATCAAGTCGTTTTTAAATGTGTTCATGGTCTTTCCCCGTCATCATATACTTTTGCGAAAATTAAGCATGAACAAAACACTCGAGGGAATGGACTAAATCTTGTCATTCCAAGGGTTCATGAAGACTGAGTCCGGAAATAAATCATTTGCGTACCAAGGAGTTCTTTTATCCAGGCTTAGAAAATGTAATGCCTAGACTTTTTCACTTCTAACTTTTTAGAAAATGTTTTAAACTTTTAAAATATTTTTAGATTTTTAGTCAAATAGTTTAAACTTATTGTAAATTTTATATAATATTGTATAGTAACTAATTTAACACAAGTCCTCTTTTATAACAGCTGCTTTCGGCTGAGCCTGAAACAGCTTTAAATAAATTTTATTATTACTAAAACCCTGGTGTAAAATTGACCATAGTGTAAATGGGTCTCCTATGATCATTTGAGAGGAAAAAACATAAGATTCATACAGAGTTCAGAGCATCTTCTTTGATTTCTTGTAAATTTCGTTTACTTTCATCAATGATACTGCGTAGTTCTGCTTCGGTCCTTTCAACATCTGCTTCATCAAAACATAATATCGTATCGTTCTCATCAACCTCACTGAAGTCATTCAGAAATATTTCACTCTCTCCTTCCTCCTCCCTCATTCTTTCTCCCAGCCCTGTCACAAAAAGATCACAAAAAAATGATTAAGCATGGTTTCAATAGACCTTTCCCCTTATGAGTGAAATTTTGATCTAGATATGCCTGGACAACAATTTCATTACAGCTTGAAAGAGCATCACAAAATTAGTAATATTCCGAAGTTTCGTTGCGAAATGTTGTAAAATGTGGGTAATATAGCCTTGCGAAGTTTGCCGTTTTTCAGTCATTTTGCATTACAAACGGAAAATTGATAATCAGATGATCAAACTGATTATCAATTTCCCATTTGTAATACAAAATTACTGAAAAACGGCAAACTTCGCAAGGCCATATTATCAGCAACTCACACTAACATTTCGCAACGAAACTTCGGAATATTACTAATTGTGTGATGCTCTTTCAAGCTGTAATGAAATTTTTGTCCAGACTTGTCTAGATCAAAATTTCACTCAAAAGGGGAAAGGTCTATTTGGCATCGACGCCCTTTTACATTGGTGCAGAAAATGGGTGATTCTAGCGATGGACGAAATTTTGATTTAGATAAGAACGAAATCCAACACCACAGCTAGAAAAAGCACGAGTAAAATGAGTAAAACTGCAAAGATTGGTTGCTAAATGTTGTAAAATGAAGAAAAATATGGCCCTGTGAAGTTCGCAAATTTTGTATATATTTGTATTACGCGCGGTAAAAATAACCACTTTCGGCTCAAAAATGGTTATTTCTCCCGCGCGTAATGCAAATATATACAAAATTTGCGAACTTCACAGGACTATATTTTCCTCATTTTACAACATTTCGCAACCAAACTTTTCAGTTTTACTCATTTTAAGATGCTCTTTCTAGCTATGGTAATGGATTACGTTCTTCTCGTCTAGATCAAAATTTCGCCCATAGCTGGAATCACCATTATTAACACGCTTTTTATTACCTTCAACAGGCGCACTTCTTGTTCTCCTGACAGTTCTTCCTCTCTTATTTCCTTCCCTTGTCTCACACGATGGCGTAAATAGAGATGACTTTCTCTTCCTATAACTATTCACTTGCCTACCACCCGCAGATCTGATCTTCCATCTTTCGGCGTAGTTTAATTCGTCGTCAAACATGTCTTGACTTAAATCTTCGTGTTATAAAACGAGATAGAGATAATTATAGAATACACTCCAACCTAGAGCGGGCTTATACGGACGCAACCCAAAGTGCCCGTATTAGAGAGATGTCTGTATGAGAGACGTCTATATTAGAGAGGTATCCACACTAGAGAAGTGAGGTGTCTGAATAAAAGTGGTGTCTGCATTAGAGAGATGTCTGAATTACAGAGGTGTCCATATTTGAGAGGTGTTCAAACTAGAGAGGTGTTCATATTAGAGAGGCGACTGTACTTAGAGAGATCTCTGGATTAAAGAGGTGTCCGTATTTGAGATATGTCCAAACTAGAGAGGTGTCTGTACTAAAGAGGTGCCTGTATTAGAGAGGTACCTGAATTAGAGAGATGTCTGAATTAGAGAGATGTCTGAATTAGAGATCTCTCTGAATTAGAGAGATCTCTGAATTAGAGAGGTGTCTTTATTTGAAAGATGTCCAAACTAGAGAGGTGTATGAACTAGAGAGGTGCCTGTATTAGAGAGGTGCCTGAATTAGAGATATGTCTGAATTAGAGAGATGTCTGTATTAGAGAGGTGCCTGAATTAGAGAGGTGCCTGAATTAGAGAGATGTCTGTATTAGAGAGGTGCCTGAATTAGAGAGATGTCTGAATTAGAGAGATCTCTGAATTAGAGAGGTGTCTTTATTTGAAAGATGTCCAAACTAGAGAGGTGTATGAACTAGAGAGGTGCCTGTATTAGAGAGGTGCCTGAATTAGAGATATGTCTGAATTAGAGAGATGTCTGTATTAGAGAGGTGCCTGAATTAGAGAGGTGCCTGAATTAGAGAGATGTCTGTATTAGAGAGGTGCCTGAATTAGAGAGATGTCTGAATTAGAGAGATCTCTGAATTAGAGAGGTGTCTTTATTTGAAAGATGTCCAAACTAGAGAGGTGTATGAACTAGAGAGGTGCCTGTATTAGAGAGGTGCCTGAATTAGAGATATGTCTGAATTAGAGAGATGTCTGTATTAGAGAGGTGCCTGAATTAGAGAGGTGCCTGAATTAGAGAGATGTCTGTATTAGAGAGGTGCCTGAATTAGAGAGATGTCTGAATTAGAGAGATCTCTGAATTAGAGAGGTGTCTTTATTTGAAAGATGTCCAAACTAGAGAGGTGTATGAACTAGAGAGGTGCCTGTATTAGAGAGGTGCCTGGATTAGAGATATGTCTGAATTAGAGAGGTGCATGTATTACAGAGGTGTCCATATTAGAGAGGAGTCAGTATGTTAGAGAGATGTCTGAATTACAGAGATGTCTGAATTAGAGAGGTATCTTAGAGTTGTGTCTGCCGGTATTAGAGTTGTGTCTAGAGACGGCCTGATGTTTGACTTAGGGGTTACTTCAGGATGAAATTAGAGAATCCAAAGAAAACTGGCAGTGTTTGAGTCAAAGATTAGACATTTTTGAAGTTTAATTTCACTTACAAGATTCAGAATTATCTTGAGGTTCCCCATGACCATCATTATCACCATTTGACATTTTCTTTCCAGGAGGTCCTTCAAGGAGTTTCAGTCTTGTTTCAAGTGCGATGGACAACATGGCCGGCAAGCTGGAAGCACTGCCCAAGGGACGACGATAATGCCGCTCTTGTGGTTTCCCTGGCCATGATGCCTGACTTGCACAATCCACTGGACTGTCATTCCATTGTTCTGGAGAGTCTGGTGGTACCATGGGAGTGGATAAACTGCTGTAACCTCGTAGGTCTAAACGACTTTGTTGCACTCGACTTGTTTCAGAGAGTTTCCGTAGAAGTAACTTACATAGTTTATATTCCAAAAATAAACGACTCCTAAAAATCATATAATTACAACATATGGTCAATTCCTTGTCGAGGTAAATACCAAGACCATGGCTTAACCTATTTAGATGCAAGTTTGTTAGCATAGCATGACCAGTTGCCATGGCTATCTTCACCATTAATGATAATGGTGATAATTATGGTGGTGATAATTATGGTGTTGATGTTGGTGGTCATGAATCGTGATGGTGGCTGTGAACCATGATGGTTATAGTGGTGATATGATGGTCATAGTGGTGATGGTTATAGTGGTGATATGGTGATATGATGGTGATATGATGGTTATAGTGGTGATGGTTATAGTGGTGATATGATGGTTATAGTGGTGATGGTTATAGTGGTGATATGGTGATATGATGGTGATATGATGGTTATAGTGGTGATATGATGGTTATAGTGGTGATGGTTATAGTGGTGATATGGTGATATGATGGTGATATGATGGTTATAGTGGTGATAGTTATAGTGATATGGTAATGATGATGGTGGTTATTACAGTGGTGATGGATCTAGAAATTGGTGTATCATACTATTAATCACCAATGCCATTAAAGACTTTTCTACTGGTTACAGTACAGTAAAGAACTGCACAGATCAGTTTGGTATAAATTTTAATACCTCAAAAAGAATGGCAATCTGTGTTCTTTAATCCAGAGAGAGATTGCACCTTGTTGAAGAAATTTCCCTTGTTCATCAACAAGTTGATGTAGCTCAGAATCATTTGAAATGTCTGATGGTGTATCCAAATAATATCCATCTAGTCGTTCATATCTGATTGCTGTTCCAAATACCTGGGGATATGCGAAAATGATGCAAAACAATTAGAAATTGAAGAACAGCTATAAGGGATTCCAAGTTAACCAATCGAGTGCCAAGACGCTTGCGTTAATGAGAAGAATTGTCTGGTGTTCGACAGAGTGAAATAAGAAAGTAGGGCACATCAGAATGCAATGCCAATTAAACGATAAATAGCAAGGAGTCTCCTAATTTGACAGATAATTATTATTTTTTGTGTTGGTGTAATGTATACTCAGGTGATTGAATATGATGAATCATGCAAACCTACGACCTTTGGAATACTAGCCCAATGCTCTGCCAACTGAGCTACATGGTCAGGTTGGTTCGAGTATGTGAGTGGTTCGAGTATGTGAGTATGTCTCACATTTGTAGGCAGGTAAATGTACATCTAAACTATGTGGAATACTAAAGATCAATGCTTTGATGTTCCTATCAGTGTATCCCCTGACCAAAGCCTTAATGCTCCTAATGTTTTTAAAAAATATTTTTCAGGAAGTTCATGCAGACATGCATGTACATGCAAGTACAAACCACAAGAGGTTATACCGTCAGTAGCTCAATAGTATATTTTTATAGGTTAAGTTAACTCAACATACCTTTAGTTGCAAGAAAACATTAAAATAGTCAACAAAGACATCATCGTACAGCAGTCTGTCTTCTAGTGTCGCAGCACTGACAAACACAACTAGAAGGGAAAATATCTAGTCAGTACTCAATACTACTCATGCAAGGGCTTGCATGAATTATGAGCTGGGAAATCTTACATTATCTGATTGCAGAGGCTCATACCATGTCCAAACGAACTGGCATATATATGTGGATATATATATATTATCAAACGGCACCTTACTAATTCTAAATATTGTTAGATACTTTTTATATGAATATCATTTTGTATTTGAGTTTACACAGCTTAGCGTGATTATAATTTGACAGATTATGTTCTAAGCAAACAACCATCTCACCTTGACTCTGTTCAACTTCCAAATTGATATCTTTCATCTTAAACAGAAGGGGTTCTAGCCTGCGGAAATGTTCTCTTCAAGAATCTCCATTCTGTGTTTAGAATAGCTATTCCCTATGTTTACTCTCCGTGTGTGCTAAAGCTACATATGACTGTATAAAGTTAATAAGCCGTTGTCTAGGAGATATGTTAATGTTTTGACTATCAATTTGGATTTGGAAATTTAATATTGTTCAATATAAATGTGTCAAGTTTGATATGTTTTGCAAATATATCCAACGAAATCCAACTGTTATTGGCAAAAATATTATGATAGTATCAAAATAGGCTAGCATTATCGATTAACTTATTACATATTTCTTGAAAGCTTCGTTCCATGTCATTTTGTTATTCGAAAATATTGGCTCCAGTTAATTGTTATTGAAAAGTTCTAATTATTTACAGGTATTTCAAATGCTAGCGAAATTACTTTGTCGCTGGATCTTTTACTGGGGAAAATGAATTAATGATTAACATGGACCGCGGGGAAGCGGGGGAAGTGGGGAGGCGTGTGGTAGCAACGGAGTAGACCATTACATATCCTGAGGGGAGAGAGAGGAAATTTTCCTTACAAGGATCCCCCCCATCAGGGCGAGGGGTTAGATGCCTCCGGTTTGAAGGGGTTAAAGGGGGTGTGGGGTGAGGTCAGGTTATCAATGTGTCTGTATGATGTATTCTTTCACCACAGCCAATAACGAAGTTACTTCATAAAATGACTTCGTTCCAAGTAACTGAGCACTCTGGCAAAAATTTACTTATTTACCTGCCCACGAATATACTCAAGTACAGTAACGAAGTACATTTACTTCGTTGACCCTTCGTTACTAGTCACCACTGCATATTGGATTTAGAAACGGGCCCTTTATCTTTAATTGATTAATTTCAACCACTTTGAACTTTTCACACAGCGCCGACAATCCTGCACGGGCAAGTGATATAAACTGAAGGAATTTAGGGAAGTTTTAGAGCTTTTATACCATCGATAATTGAATGGTGAAAACACCACTCCAAAATTTCACAAGTAAAAAAAGGCACGAGCTCAGCTATTATACTGAAACACAGATCGGTTTGTTCCCATTTTAGTTTTAATAGGCTATTAATAATGCCATATTTTCCCAGTCAAACCTTTGTCTGAATCCCAGAGCCAGCAGCAAAATTGCTAGTGAAAATCACATTCCCAGTGGTACAAATTGAATGTTTCCAGTGAAAAAATATTCAAATCCCAGCCCTCATTTTTTTCCTTGGCTATGATCCACTTAAAGATCAAAGCGGCAAACTCTCAATTGCCAGTGAAAAAAACATGTAAGATTAATATGATATATATTGACGAGTTTTTCTAAAAGTCAATCAATGCCTCGCCAAATTACTAAATTTCTTTTTCATTCTCGAATGTTATGAAGATAGCGTTGACAGAGAGAAAAATCGTGTCCTTACATGAATCCGTAAAAACCCCCGTCGTTTTTGCTTTTCATTTATAAACTCTACTTAGTACACAAGTTCATGTAATTAGTATAATTACAGCCACAGGTACAGCAGTAATATGTAATTATAAGCTGCAATTGTTGCATCTATCATTTCCAACGACAACATTCGTAAACATTTCTTGTTACAAACTGACAGCAATTTGTTGCTTGCATCACTTTGCCTGGCCTTCATGTAGGCGTGTCAAATTTTAATGTAAGGTTCCAATGGTCTTATCTAAATTTCATTATCACAGGTCCAATTTGGGGCCATTTTGGCTATGGTTATATAGTATATAGGACGTCTGAGAATATAGACAATGTTGAGAATTAGTCCTAAAATTTTCAATTCCTCAGATAATCCCCCAGGTGTAATATACTAAGTCTAAGGTCTAAAGTGCATCCAGCAGGAATTAAATATAGACTGAGATATTTAATTCCATCTTCTGCTATACAAGTGTCAGCACTTCACAAGTTCACCCAATAGATGTTCGTTTTATAGTAAGTGTTTTTCAGATTGCGACCAGAAATTTCCTTGACAATTATAAGAACAGGAAAATTCAACTAATATTTCAATTCTGTTTATTGGCAAGCAAATAGAAACCTTTGTAAAACTCATTAATAAATTATGAAGAAAATTTCAAAAACTCAGTGTTTGATGATCCAGTGTATCCCACACATGTACAAAATTCTCCTGATTTGCATAGATTTTTCCTCGACTTTCTCATTAAAGCTTCATTTTTAGTAATATCTTAAAAGTTAAAACACAACTGTTTTACAAGCTATATTAACATCTGATACAACACGGCCCGTTCATGTTGTTATATATTATAGACACCAGATACGAAATGGAATTAACATTATTTTTCTTCGCTTTGGTAACTGCAGGTTGTCAACTACTGTTGCATCACAGTCCAACTCCAAGTCCCAACTTTGTATTTCCAAAATTTTCCATCAATGCAAATATTTTTTAAAACTATCTTAAACCTATATGACCAATATTACGTTGTTATGGTATTTGATTACGGTATATATAACTATTCTCAACTAGTTTTCAAGTGCCCTTGTGTAGTTGTATTGTCGCCTTCAAACTCAAGTGGCAATAATATAAAGTGTGATATAAATATCATAGCAGGAGACAGAGTGATATAGATATGATGATTCAGACTTGAAGGAATGCATTGCTTTCCTGAATGTGCCATAACCGTCTTGCTTTTATCATTCGTCACTTTCGGCAATAAAAAACTAAAGTATTTATTCGTCTTGGAATTTCTAATGGTATAATGATATCAAGTAGAAACGGAAAGGACATAGTTTATGTTATATGAGCAATCAGATTAGGGAATTTGGAGGGTGACCTTTTTCCTTTTTGGGTAATTAAACAGAGGTGGGGAACACATTCATTGCGGTTTCAAACAAACTCTGTGTAACATCATCACATTTTAAATGTCAAAGAAAATCTCCTCGGAAGGATGGGAAAATAACCATGTTGACCTGATAGTCTCGACTGCGACAATTTTGGACTGATGCACTTGAGATCATTCCTCGCATTATTGCAAAGCTAAGGTATATATTGACGAAGCAAAATCGAGGCTATATATATATACCTCTCGTGTTTTATTTACCCACAAATAATATTTACAAGTTGAATATTTAAGAATATATAAACGGGCTAGAGACCTCTGGAAATCCTGTTAGTTTAATGTTGTAAACAGGGTCGAAGCATCTTTTGGTAATTTGGGGGAGAGGATTCAAGATGCTCAACGTGATTTACAGGGAATTTATCATAAGGATAATGGAGAGTTTTTGAGTAATTTTGTAAAGTTGTAGGTCTTAAACTCTTCAGTCTGAACGAAAAACTACTGGTAGATTGGTAGGGTCACTGTTGTGAAAAGTGTCACTGGTACATATAAAGCTGGGAATAGAGCAAATAAAGAATGAGGAATTTCATTTTCGCTATGCCTGCGCTGAGTTATCGTATGCCGTCAGCTTGCGGGTCCTGTGTATAGCTAAGCTTCCCTGTGATGTTGAGTTTTCACGAGACGAAAAACAGCAAGGCGAAAACGTATCGTATATGTACCTATGATAAGATGAGTATATAAACCCAGAGGGCGGAACATAATGCGTGTAATACAAGGCTAATAACAACTTGGTGGGCTGGCCTGCTTGCTACACGACAGCCCGAATTATAGGTGATGAAAGTAAGTTGCTCAAAACGGCACTTAACTGGTCCAGGAATTTTAAAAAAACGACCTTATTTATCTCTGCCTATCATCAGGCAATATACACATGGTTGCTTTAAACAAACCTATTGTGGGAAACTATAAGCTGGAAATGCACTTTCAGGACTTGTAATTTTCAAACTTTTCTGGGGGGCATGCCCCCAGACGGTCATATCCCCCTACGTTAAGGTTCTCTTTTTCTCAACACCAGTCCCCCCATCGTAAAACCGCTGCGCGGTCCCTGTTGACAAGAAGTGAAGAATGCAGTCAAACAACCCAGACAATGCGAAGACCTCGAGAATACAGATCTTTAATCTCTGAAAGTATTTATTTCTCATTTTCTATATATGATAGGCCATATCTGTGTCTGTGTTTATAAATACCTATGAGATAAAAGTAATATATACTTCAATCCGCACATTGGCAAGTCGTTGAAAACCATATGTTAAAACATTTTAAATAGCCGTATACTTTATCATATCACATAATCGTCAGTGCTAAGAGCCATAAAAGGTCTGCCATGCAAATCTATAGTAGAAAAGTGTTTATACGGTGCTTGACCTATACTTAGTTTAAAAGCTCATTCTAGACCGTATCAGACATAGTTATTGATCGATTGCAAACGAGACTATGGACAGGTCTTTTGGTGTTCATGGTATACAGTGCATGGTTAGGGACCGGTCAGATTTAAGGCCGGGGGGGGGGGTACTGAGGAGAAACATTTTCCTGGCCAAATTTTTTAGTGACCCAACCTTCAAAAATTTTATTTTTCTCCACCCAACCCCACCCCAACCCACCCTAACTTAACTTTTGTCAATTTACTTATTTAACAGCTAAATTGACTTATTTGAATTTTTGAGAGAACAAAAAAGCAAACAAGTATGAACTCTGTCACTTTATCAGGAAATCGAGTATAAAGTACATGATATTTATTCGATCTTAATAAAACAAATAATACAAATATTTTAGTATTTTCCGACTTAATGATTTTTACTTTTCCTACCACTTTGCTTGGTGAATTTTTATTCAACCCACCCATTTCCACCCATAAAATTTTGTTTACCCACCCATTTTCTCATCGCCCGCCCCCCCCCCCGGCCATAAATAATGACCGGTCCCTTAGTGTATTCTTGAACGATCAGTGAATAGGTATAGTGCCAACAATGCTTCGGATTGATATAGGGATCTATCTAAACTATCTGAAAAATACAAGGAGAACTTCGACGTTTCGAGCGAAGGCCGCGTTGACTACTAAACTTCCCGACGACGGGCTTTCGCTGGAAATGGTCGAAATTCTCCTTGTATTTTTAAGGTGGTTGTACGTATCCCCTATCAATCCGAAACTTTCTTATTGAGGAGTTCAAGCTTCGCGTTCAAACGTCAAATGGTAAACGCCGGGGGAAGAAAAAACTTACGCTACAAGGTAATAAATGGGAAATCAACTTGCTATTTTAAGACTGTAATGTATGATGATTCGTTTGAGATAAGAACGAGAAGATGAAGCGAAGAAGTTAAGCAAAAATTCTGCCAACAAAATTCGACAATGCTGTTTGTCGTTCCCGCAACCGTGAAGCTTACACTCCAGTATTATCGGCGCTTACCACTATACCTATATACTCTGGCACAAACCCCTTTTCAAGATCATACTTCAATTTGGTTCAGTTTAGTCAATGGATAAATAGATAGATAGATACAATCGCTTATTCATACAGGATAATTCCTTCAGTGCAAAACCACTGGTATCAATGGAGACACGAGAAACACATTTCTATATATGACTACAGTTCTTTGTTAGATGCTTGTGTGATGTTACTCTGAGTGTATATCCACACCGGGCAGGCTTGAAAAATATGGCCAGGCATATTTTTCAAGCCTGCATGCCCGGTGTGGGTATACACTCAGAGTAACATCACACAAGCATCTTATTCACCTGAGTACATTACACCAACACAGCAAAATATCAGTTCTTTGTTAGTTTGCATGACTATCAATATGACCACAATATAGATTCCTGAGTCACGCATAGATGGAAATGTTTTTCAGGATCCTTACTATGGAAAAAGCATGGATCTTCGATAGTAGGGAAATCCAATTTTCATACTGATTACAATTTCCATACCATGGATATAGCATGGTAATAATATGGATATACTATGAATTTAGTGATGCAATTGTAAATTTAATTTTGTTCCAGTGGGCAGTGATCATTGGATGAAAAACAAATTTCGATCTATAATGACAGTTCTTTGTTGGTTTGCATGCATGGCTATCAATATATGACTACACTATAGGCTCCTGAGGACATGCATATATTACCTCGGAAACTAAAAATAACCAAGTGTACTTTCGCAACCAATTCATCAGTTTTATTTAATTGATCGTTTGTAACTGAAGTTGATGAAGTGCATATGCTTCTCTAACAAAGAAAGGGACTTTGATTTTTTTTAGAAAGTTGAGGTCTGATATATTTACAATTGAATGCCACTTGGAAATACTGCTTGAACACTGATCTCCATGCTTGCATCTCAAATCAGGGAACTATCAGCGTGACTTTTCAAGAAAGATTGTAATGATATATCATGCTAAGTCAATATGGATGTGTTCATGAAATGACTGGTGATGTTTTTCTACAACAGCATGTTACTAATGTGTAAACTTTACAGAAACAGTGTGCTCCCATTGTTTCACGATAAATCAAATAGCTCGCTGTTAGCAGCTGTATGTGTGCACATCTATACCTTAAAAGTGCTGTGTTTTTGATCATGCTTAATAATGAAGGAGGGGCAAGAGGATGCGCTACATTTCACTTGAACAAAACGTTTTAAAACAGAGCCATGGATGCGAAACTGTTTTCATGCTGATCTTTTGTAGCCCACTCGGGCTACACCCCGCGTTTGTAGATTGAATCGCGTAAACACCACAAACTGTGCGCTGTTTTTAAACCCATTCTACACTAGGTTTGGGGGAAGACATTACCTTTTAAGATACTTTGGAAATACAATATTAAGTGCAAAAGAAAGATAAGACAAATATTTCGGTAGGTTTCGGATGGCGGTGAACTTCAAAGTATGTGACACTATTAGATGAAGAAAATTATGTACCACAGTGCATGATGTATAATCTTCTCAATCCTATTCAATGAAAAACAAATAGATAATTCTCACTCTGATAACTGGCTGAGCACCGTATGCTGTGTTACAGCGTTTGGTAAAACTTACTTACAGAAAGCAACTTAAGCAATGGTTAAATGAAAAGAGAAATGGTAAATTTAAACAATCTGCAGCACGATTCTCACGGTATAATCGATCGAGTTTTGACAAAGCGTTTGCAAACAATCACGCAAAAATGTGTTTTGTTTATGAACGAGCTGGCGTGAACACCATCTTTGACTAAACCGATATATCTCAGTCAAATACAAAGCATTGTTATATAGTGTCCATACTGAAGTTGACTCAACATGTTTGAATCCAATCTATCAAATGTCACTCGATAAATGATGACCTTGTTTTGATCACTTTGCATTCCTCAGAACAAAGAAACATGCTTAGGCTTGTAAAGTATAAAATTGAACATTTAAAAATGTAGACTGTCACGTAGAAAATATCTCTTTTAATCAACTTAGGATATTAGCTTATGATCATAATATCTAATGAAGAATTCCAGGATTATTATATATATTTGTACAGTAATACCTCATCAGATTGATCCACATCACAATATACCTACGACTAAGTTTCTTTGAAGAAAGAATTATAGTTTGATCGAAGGATATGAAGTGCAAACTTCTTTCAAAGACGCTGTTTAAGCATATATACTGTAATTTGGTAGATACTTTGAGTACCAAGGTGAAGAATATATTACCTTCTTATGATCCAAGGGTCAATATATATTATTGGTATGAGGTTCATACTGCTTTCTTTTGGAACAAAGTTCATTTTGATCGAAGGGTGTAGAACTCTTCCAAAAATGTTGATTAAACTTATAGATAATTTGGTAAATAATTTGAGTGCCCATGGTGAAGAATATTACCTTATTATGATTCTCAAGTCAATGTTATTATAACGTTGATTTCTAGTATCTGCACTGGTTTCTTTTAGAATAAAGTTCAGTTTGAACAAAGGTATGAAATATAAGACTTTGGTGGTTATATATAAACTTATTTTGTAGTAGAATAAGTAAATAATTTGAGTACCTAGCTTACAAGGTAAAGAATATATTATACCTTGACACTGGTTCTCGGATCAAGTTACAGTATGGACAATTTTTTAAGTGTAAACTTGTTTAAAAGACTTGGACCCGGGCACAAGTTAACATTAGAAGTCTAATAATGGTTACTTGGAACGATTCCCTGTATTATCCAAAATCTTCAGCTGTTTAATTAAAAGATGAAAATCTTCAATATTGCCATGCCACAAAATTTCAGTTCAATGGTATACTGTTATAACTTATATTATTTAAAATTTATCTCAAATAAAAATATGTTGTCTCTTCTTCTGCCGTTTTGGATATCTTATTTTATCAATTTAAAAATGGTTGAAAGAACATAATTCATGTTAACAGGCAAGATAATATTTACAATATTATTTTCTCGTTTCTACTTATATTCCATAAACAATTATAAGAAATCACTTCTGAAATCATATTGATTAAAATACACAATAGAGCCAGGGGTAAATTTAAAAACTAGATAATGAATCTCAATAATTGTACTTTCAGTGTTTTGTTTTTTTGCAATTGTGCTTTCCTATAAAACACCTATAGGACAAAGATTCAGCTGTCAGGTTTTTCTTGAAATCAAATAGGCCTCATATGGTTTCACACCCAGAGTATTGATGTACAATTTACAAATTAATTAATATGTTCCTGAAATTTGATTCCCAGCAGTTTTTAAAATTAAGTTAAACACTAGGTTAAATCGTTTATTTTGTTCACGGTATTATGCAGTGCAGCCAATGGGGTGTTTATGCATACACGTAGCACTATATTATAGGCAACTGAAAGAGATGTAATCTCGTTGATATGATTTTGTCTAGAAACATTGTGTTATATTTGCAAAATAAGTAACTGCAGGTGGAAGGCGATTTACTATCTCGATAACCTTGCTATAGTATAACTTCGCTTATTAATAAATAAAATCTATTTCCAATTTTCTGATGTAGAGTAAAGGATAATTTTGTCACATGCATAATCTTAAAAAAATCTATGGATGGCTATGGATTTTAGACTATACTATCGAACTTGCTTGCTATTAAGGAATTTGACAATCTTCCATTATTTATAGTTTAAGAAAATCATTTTGTTAAAGGGACACTGCACTGCCACAATGAGCATTTAATTTGTGCTTCCATGATTTTTAATGCCAATGAGTCAGTTTTGGACAAGAATCCATAACGTTGTTCCTTATAGTGACTTCAGTTAAATCTTTAATGACTAGAAACAATGTTATCTTCCATTAATCATATTGAAAGCAAGTTTAAGAAAATCAATTTGTAAAAGGAACATTGTATTGCAAGGATTTTACTAGAACATTCTTATTCCAGATCATACGAAAAGGTATTTTGACATAATGACTGACTCGTGACACGTTGCGAAACCACGAAAATTCTATCATCAGATCAACAAAAATCCAAATTAAACAACATTTATATGCAACCGCTATCTCGAAAGGATAATAAGTTTACAAGGCTTTTCAATTTCGGTCCATTCTTTAAGGATGGTCAATATCTATGAAATCTTGATGTTCATTCAAGGTTTAAACCACACCAATGATTGGATTTTGATGTAATTACGATGCTATCGGAAACTCGTAATTTGCAGTTACATGTATGCTTGTAAAATGATGATATAGTACACAAAGTGAAGCGTATAATTGATAGAGCCAAATGCGTTAACATCAGTGCGCTTTTAATCAACATTGTATTTAAAATATTTCACATTACACATTGACATTGTCTCTTCAATTTTCTTGGCAATGGGTTTACATTCAAATTAGTTAAATGAAAGGGGAGGGGCGGATGTGTTTTGGCAGAGGGAATGCATAAGCACATTATTCTGAGACTTTAATGGGATCTATGTCCTAAAAGGATTGTATATACTTTGTTTCATAATCTGATCTCTTTTGCAGCAAAGTGTTGAAATTAAAATAGGCTGTATATCGAAGAGTAGGGGTATATATTACTGGATAGTGTGGAGACTAAATGCGTCAATCAGACATTAACGCGTTAATCCGCTATAGCCTATATAGACTTAAAATGGCATTGTTTCCTAATCTGATTTCTTTATAGATTTTGCAATGTGTTGAAATTCAAATTAGCCATGTATAAGTAAGGGGAGGGAAGGTGAAATTGCCCATATATATTTGTGAATCGTTGCTAAGTCAACACTCAAATAGTATACAATGTTTCAGTCCTATATCACGATTGCCTAGGGAAACTATTGGTTTCTATGCCGAGATTGATCTGAGCAAATCTCAATATATTCCATGCCTGTATTGTGTTGTTGTATTCTCTGGCTATCTTCGGGCTAACGATACACAAAACAAAGGTGACAATACAGTGTCGTGTGGAGCGCTGAACGCTACATCATCCTTCACTCAGTCAGTCACTTTATTAGCCTTGACAAGCTCTTCACAATTAAATGCAAATGAAGTTAGACCACTTAATGAGAGCTTGTGGTCAACATTGAGTATTCGGATAGGCTAATATTTGTCAGCCAGTGTACACTTTGAGTTCCTAGCTAATTACACTGCTGTTTGTTTTTCACTTGTCTTAAAGCACACCCGTATCGATCACGGCTTCATACAGAGGGTGGACACAGATAGCAAACATTCACTGGGCATTCTATTCAAACAAAGTAACACGAGGATCCTCTGTCTAGCGGATACTGCTCGATCAATCCACTACCAACTCCTAAGAAGAAGATTTACCTGGATCATTGAGGACATTTTTTTAACTTTAGAAGGTTTTGCTAAGGTATGTTGGAACTTATATTTCTTCAATTTCTATATCTTCAATATCTATAGGTGTTACCTCAGTTATTTTGAAACTTCAACGCTATGTGGCTATATAGAAGGCGGAGGTATAATATAGTGGTTTAAATTATGGAGGATGCACTAGATGAATAGTAAAATCCTTTGTATAAACAAGGGCATATAGTCTTAATCTACACTGAATGAAGTTTATTCCAGTGGAATTATACTCAGTGATAGCTGAGATTTGGTTATATAACAATGCGCACAGTGACTATAGCGTGTCGGAATAAGACGCGGAGGTATATAAAAGTGGTTTTTAAAGCACGCACTTATGAATACCACAAGATGTTTTGTATATAACCTAGCGGAGTATGATAGTGTAAAACTGCAAGCTAATTCCATGGGAATTCCACTGTAGTCTGAAAGGTAGAACTGAAGACTGGGTTTGAACGAATGTGCATCGGATGTCTTGAAAAACCCGCAGTGATATAACATGAGTGACAGTATAGTTTACGGTCCACAGCAAGGTCTTTTGTGTAAGCAAGAGCAAAAGATAGTTTCAACCTGCAAGCTCATTTCGTGAAAACATGGCCAAATATTCTCAAAGGAAGATCTAAAGTTTGCATGCACGATAAAGCTGAATAGTCTAACTGGCCTCTGAATAAACTGAGCTATAATCCGTTAATGATCCTGAGTTGTCCTTGCCCAAGCATGCTTTCAAGCATGCGTTATTACTTTAATATTATCGAGCATCCATTCCGCATGCAATCAACGCATTCGAGAAGAAGTCTAAATCTGAGATTAGCTTTAAAACCAGTGATTATGTCAGGGTATTCAACACCCTTTTGTCTAGTTTTAAGTGGTATACACATACCCCGAATTTAGATGAATTAGCGCAAATAGTTTCTAACAGCATATAATACTGATACAAGGCCTTACTGCCTAAACTTTGCAATATACTATAGAACAGGTTAAAATGTTGTCAGGTTGAGATTTTTTACGCAGTCACGTATTCCTTAAAGCACACGGAAGATAAACGGCTTCCTTTTGTGTACCTTCTTAATGGACTATATACGTCAGCGTGCTTGCATGGCGCGGCTTTATATTTTTTACACACGCAGTGGCCTTATACACTGGATGAATCTTTGTGCAGATTATCGTAGGACAATATATACACGACAGATTCAGCGTATCCTATACGCTCCGAGTCTTTCCTGAATCGGAAGATTGAAGTAAATTATCTCTCTGCTTCCTATAGCTCTCTCATGCAGGCTCTAGCGCAGAGTATATACAACAGTGCATTGAAAGTATAATAGAGCTGTTTTGCACACTCACGAGTTAACTCGAACAATAAAATGCAAAATGATGAATAAAATGGAACCGTTCATAAAAACAAAATTCACCGTAAGTTCATGCATGATAATTTTGTACAGCGAATGCGTTTTAATTTGTTAGTTGATCTGCAATATAAACGTAAAAAAACCTTTCTTAGATAACTATTTTTAAACAATCCTTGTATTTTTTTTAAACAGTTGTACTGAACAAAAATTTAGTTTAACAATTATGAACTGAATTGCTTGCTCAATCTACTGATATGTTTTAAACGGACACTAAACTATATATGGCACTCAATTTTTTTTGTGCGACCATTTCGTGCCGCTTAAAAACACGGAAATATTGTCCAAAATCTATTCGACGCCAGGAAAAAATTGCAGTTGTGTTTTTTAACTTAAAACCTCTCCAAAGCGGGTATATTTGTACTTTTAAAAAATGTGTGGGAAAGGTCAGCGAGCGCGTTGGAAATTTCCCCTTCACAGACTCTTGACTATCATATTTTAAAGAAGTTTTTGAAGGGCTTAAACACGATATCAATGTCTTGATTTCGACACGCAGCTATGATTATTTTACACCTCTATATAGCAGTACTTCACACCTATAGTTGAATTGTTTATCTGATTATGCGATCCGCCTTAAAGAATTATAACTATAATCAGCTGGTGCGAGAGCCTTGCATCGCTGTAGACCACGTAAGCGTCACTTAGCAATGAAGCGCTCGACTTATGTAATGATGATATTGGGCCTTATTGACTTCTACAACTTACAATCCATCTTCACATTAAAAAAGCTATAGTGATACAACATTCTATATGAGAGTATATATCATCTGTTAACCTTGTAGAACTTTTAATTTCCAATATCTATGTATATTCTCATGTTTTCACATTATACCTAATTCCCTGCAGATGGCGTTGGCGTGAATTGAAAACACGGCTCCATTTCAAGAATTATATTAAAATTAACCGGTCAAGAGAATATCATTTATCATCTAGAGTGGTAAAATATATACATTTGCACGCTGCGGCCAAGAATGTTGAACTTGATCAAATAGTATGAAATAGTAGGCGCTACGCACATTATATATGTAAGCTTATGTAGACAATTTATCCTATACTTCACTAGCAAACCTGAATAAATTATATAGGCTTGCGTTCTCCCAAAGTTGCTTCGATTTCTCGCATGGTATATTATTTATAGACTATGGCCTCAACTGCGCTTGAGTTAACCACCTTAGGTTGCTTAAAAAATACTGTACTCTGTAGGCGTACAACAGACTATCGTGTATATATGGGCGTTTTATTCAAAAAACACATCGGCTCCTTATAGTTGAAACTGAGCAAACAAATTAACCACAATTGCTTCAAGGGTCGTGTACATAAACTTGAACTTAATCGTTTTCCGGTATTTTCCCAAGCTGGCAACATATGGCGTCGCGCAATAATTTCCATGCAAAATCTGCTTCCAGTTTTCTGTAAAGTGACTATTTATTCAGCTGTACGCGCCTGCGTGTTAATTATATCTTTAGAAATACATTCACATTTTCTGACTAAAGCCTTGTACATTTCAACAAATAAAAGGTTTACCATTTTAAAGCATTGCCATTGGAAACTGCTTTAGAACTACTATATGCGTATTAAACTAAATACTGGCAAAATAATGAAGAATTTCAGTTTGGTTAAGTTAAGCCGGTGCGAGTCCGCGTCGCCTAAATTAACGCATGTGTCTTTAGATATGTCAGGTTATACCCATGTTGAATTAAGTGTAAATCGTCGATTTGACTTATTCATGCGATTTGTGACAGCTTTTCGAGATTAAAACACCTTTTAAAAGATATGTTTGTTTTCACAATTTCCGAGACAATTTCGAGATTGTCTTGAACAAATCGTGTCACAACAGCAGAGAAACGGCTTGCTATAACATGGGAAAGTAGCACACACCCTATAGCGCAATGCTGAAAGCGCAGGCTTAGTTTGTTTTAACAATTTCGAGATTGTTTAGAAACACGTCACAGCAAAGATACTGTTTGCTATTAGTCTCATTATACGTTTTACGCAAACCTACATGACTCTATAGCTAGCGCAATACTGAAAGCGCAAAATATTCTTCTTCAAATCACAAAAACAAAAGAGATATAGAGTTTTCTCTTAAAAGTAATTCTTATTGCACAAAAAACGACTTATAAATGCTCGCTATCAATATTTTAAAATTACTATGTTCAACGTCAAAAGAAACTTTATTATGAACTACATCTACGAACCCATTTTGTGCTATAACCTATATACGATCGAGCGATATTCAATTAAATCACGCCGGCGCTCGACCTCTAGCAATGCCAATGGAGAAACCTATTAACTTCTACAACTGTTATCTGATCACATATATTTTCAAAGACAGATGAATAGATGCCAGAGCTTGTTAGTAAACTAGCACTGATGCTTATCATTTCTATACTGTTTTTATCTTTGTGTACTTTTGTTCCGGCAATGTTGTTTCAAATTACTTGTTAAAATTGAAGGGCAAAAACGCGCTTTATTTTGTGATAAAATCATTGAAGTAATTCGTGTCCATTCACTGTGGTTTTCCAAGTAATTTTCTCATAAAGCTCGACTCCAAACAGTGATTAATTTGCACAATGCAGCTTTTAATATTAATATGCGTTCTTATTGTACAATAATGAGGGATTATGATCTTGAATTAGCGAGAGCCGACGTCTATATTTATAGATATCTATAATATATACTATATCATTTTCGAGCTATCTTTAAACTATAACAAACAACATATGTGCGGACAAATTATCACATACAAAACTAATTTTCCGAGCTAAATATTTAGCTTTGCCCATCAAAGTCCGTACTGATTAGGTAAAAGATATGTTGTGTACTTTTCAAATTATTTTTCGGCACGTAATTACAAGCGGTCGGATTTACCGTGAGGTCATTAGAAAGTGTCCCGCCTTTCAATTTTATACGGCCATTTACTAAAGAGCTCAAACCCAAACAAAAACCTCGAAGTTAAAGTCTCGCTGCGCGGAGAAATCTTAGACTAATCATCCATTCACGATATATGAATGCGGCAACATTATAATGAGAAATAAGAATTTTACATGTGAAATTAATTTTCACATGATGACTGGGAATATGTGAATTTCATGGAGTGTCTATCTTTTTCACTTAACTAAAAGGTATATACTCTGGCTGCCAGTCTATACAGATAGAAAACAAAACCCTTTGTGTTATATTCAGTATACAGTTTTAACAAAGAAAATGTTTGCATGTTCAACGCTTAGGTTTGTAGCTGTACGTGTGTCTTCAAAGAAAAGTTCAGTTTACCTGAAATCTTCATTTCGTAAAGTAGCAAATAAGAAAGCACAAAGCACAAAATTCCATCTCTGATGAAGTGATATGCTAAATGTAAGTCTAGCATAACTAAGACTGGCATAGCTGGTTGATGAAAAGTATATATTACACGGTCGCACGCTTTTATCAAAGTATACTTCAGCATGGTTCACACCGCATAGCAAACAGATCATATAGCATAGTTCGACAGTGTTAACTAGTATTATCAGGCTGGAGTGAAAACCTATAAAGGGCAATTATATACTATAGGACCCCATTTCTTACAACCTCAATTTGATACGTGCAAAGATTCAAAACAATCTGAAAGTGAATGTTAGCATATTACCAAGTGAACAATATCACAACAACAACTTACGAACCGAAGTTTCAATTATATGAGCACTAACGAAGTTTACTATTACTGATTAGGAATGGAAGATTCTAGCAAATGCAAATATAGGATGAAAACACAAATAGGATGAAAAACGTGGCTGGCATAAATTGAGTCATGTTTTGTGATATGTCTATAGCTATGATCTGCAGATTAGGAATCGACTTTCGGCATCTCTGAGTGCTGTTCGCGTAGGTTGTGCTGCTCCAAAATGAGTTGTATCCAAACCTGATAGTTTGATGTTGATGATGCACGTATATCATGATCTCGTCTTGATACTGAGGATCCAATGCATGGGTTGGAAAGACTTGGAAAGGGGCCGGGGGTTGGTATATGGGTAAGGGTGTAGTTGAATGGGGGGAGGGGGAGATTCTTAAGAGTTCTTCATTGTATTCTCATCACATTGCAAAGTACACAAAGAACAGTGAAAAATTCGTTACCAATTCCCACATTTACTCGATGGCCTCAAGAATGACAGAGTGGCGGGACAGAATCCGACGGTATACATGCAAGCAACTATATAATCTCGCTCAAAAACAATGAATTTTGGGCAGTGTCGATCTGCCAGAATAAGTTAGAATTAAGACCTTTCTGAAGGATGTTCAAATCAACTAAAAACATGCTTTATAATTCTTAACAATAGCGAAAAACCACCTACAATATCTTTGATCTGCTAAATAATAATATATAGAGATGAAACCGGAAATTATGTCTGCCCACATTTCAGACTGCTTTTGTGAACTGCGTTCAGAGTGCAGAACTAATGCACAGCTATGCGAACGACGGCTTGCTGTTGCCCTATAATTAATCCCATTTGTGCAACATGCGGTGTCTATTTGCTTGGCCATTAGCGATAATTAAAAGCTGTTTAGCCATTCAACAGCATCTCATAACGTACACGATATTAATTTTAGCCTTACGATGAAAACTTAAAATTTGGACAAAACTCTTAAAGATAACAACAATGTTGAGTATTGAGTTATGTCTCACTCCGCACTTGCGAAATTCAGTCTTCATGTCATGTGCATACCAAAAGCAAGGCTTCAATTGGCGTCAACTAGACCATACTAGAAAAAGCAGATTGATTGACTTTAAGAAAAAAGCTCAGTTGGACAGCGTTAGATTGATGTTAGAGGCCCTGTTGGGAGCTTTTAGTGTAACAATATCACACCCAGCGGGCACAAACTATCTCCGTTATGTACAACAAACTGAGAATGTGATCCATTTCGTTTATTTGTTCACACTCAGGAAATTCCACAACTCAAAACTGTTACTGATACAATCACAATCATGTATACATAGTCACATGTATTTATAACTTACATCACTACAGAATCCTATCGATGCTGTTTTTTATGGCCTGCATGGACTGACTCATGTCATAAAAAACCCCTTATTTTTCCTAATATTACTTTCAACTGTTTTTCACGCATGCAAGCCTTGAAAAACAACTGGGTTAGTCTATTATATCTATAATCACGAAATATATCTGGTCTAGAATCTATAGTTTAATAACAGTTCATGCAACTGATAATGATTAATACAAATAATTAATCAATGCATAAATTTCACAGTCAGGAATGGTGTTTTTCAATAAGGTGTTTATTAAAGTTTATATATTGATACATATTCTTTATTCACGATAGCCAATGAAAATCCCTGTTATTTTTGTATGGCATTTAATTAAAAAAAACATGAATCGATATCACTCTTCATCTTCTCTTGATCAATCTCAAAGAATTGCGCATGCGCAGGGAACTATAGACTGTTAATCCTTTTCTCGAGTTTTTATACTGAAAGATTTTCGCTTCACATTTACACATTATATAACTCAATGGTCACAATAGTTCTAAATATATCGAAATATGTATAAATATAGCTAGCTTAATACTTTATTAATAGTCCATGATAGATCATAGGTTAGAAGTATTTTGTGGTTTTGTCTGCATTTCTTAACCTCACAGTGGGTAAATATAATAATTATATCATAGTATTTAGAATGGATGAGACTCCTACCCGTTGCGATCCATGTTTAAAAAGTTAATGATGCGAAGGAGACGGGTAGGTGATTTAAACAAAGCTCTTATCTCGATCTTCCGTGTTATAATAACGCCGGCATATAGCCTTAAAAAGCTTGAATATTTTGAACCGTTATTTGCACTTAGAGTGTTTTGAAATTTGTCCACCACCTGCTTCGTATTGTAATTGTGCTCGCATTATTCTTTGGGAATTGTTATTGAGCAATCTTGAGATTTGAAAATGATGAAAGACAATCTCGAAATATAACGTAGATAATAATGGTTTTGTCTAAGAGCGTCGAACATAATCTTGAAAGGGCGTAATAACCCAGAATGACTTGAAATAATACATTACAGAGCAGGCGTAAGTATTAAGTGGACTAGTAACTAGTTGTTGTCGTGTACTTCGTATAGAAGACGTAATTCAGTAAATAAAGTCTCGAGAGTTGTGATGAGAGACTTTACATAGCCAGGAGTATAGTTGCTCAACTCTGTCTAAATTGTCTAATGACCCGATCGATAAGAGTCACATGAGAGTTGATGAGATCTTACTGGATATTACCACGCGTACATGGGCGGTATAGCAAAACTGACTCTCGTCACAAATCTCATCAAAATTTGAACCAGTTTATAGTTCACGAGAGTGCATATGAAAGTCGATGAGAATTGGCTAGCAAACGCGAACTATGTAATGAACTCTTTGACCGGAGCCGTTTAGTACTTCACACCAGCATCTTTTCCTACCAGCAGTCCGTTGAAAATTAGCAGAATCACAAATGATATCAAATTACATATACTCCATTATAGGTATCCGAGTTTCAAATACGTATACTTCTGCTATAAGTTGCTATGTTATTCGTTAGATCGCACCCGTAACGATCAGCGTCATCAGATTACTAGTGCGAAGGCTTGTATATAAGCGACGTGTTCACTATAGTCTATAGTGTCATCATCATTTTTGGCTACGATTTGATTCAGTCAACAACTTCATCAACTCTCACGCAACTCTTGTTCCCGTTTGACCAGGGCATGAGAGTTGAGAAAACTCTCATGCCAACTATGGCTTCTCAACTCTCATCAACTCTCATGCAACTCTAGTTCCCGTTTGACCAGGCATGAGAGTAATTAACTCTTACGCCAACTATCGCTTCATGCCGCCAAGGTTTGACATGTTGTACCATCGACAAAATGTCATATTTGTTGGCAGCGGTACGCGGTACCAGGAATACCTGACGAAAAGCTGTTCATGGTGTTTGATCGAGTCAAACTGGAAGCACTCTTCTTCTCATGAACATCGCGGTGGCAGGTGTAAAAAGCCCTATGAACTATAGTGTGTCACCAATACCCCACCGCATCTAACGTATGAAGCAAAGTGCGCATATACTGGATAATGTGTTATGAAATCATACATGAAATGTGTTAACTTGTTAATAGTATAAACAAACACCTTTGGTTATGTTTAAAAACTGCATAAAATACTTAATGACGATTCAGATCAAACGATAGCAAGACACTATTTAAATAGAACGTAGCAGAACACGAAAACACAAAATATCATACTCTTTTCATTTTCTGCAACTGAATAGAAAATTTGGGTATAAAACGAAGTGAGCACAGACACGTATAAATATTCCCGCATCGAAATCGTGTTCCCACCCAATCAATTTAAAAGTTTGTTTGTTTTAGCGCTAATGACTACAGGGAATCTCTATTAGGATTGTTTAGCACCTCATTAACGCTGTTCAGTCAATAATATGTCAGAGACATTTACACACTCGCTACGTGGGAGCCACGCTAGAGATGTTTTTACAGTTGTTCATGGATTTTCATTTTCCTTTTTCTTTTAAACTTATGACGGCCATCTGTCGAAAGTAAACGTGTAAACGGCAAAGCTTGACGGAGGTTGTTTTGGCATAATGTGATATTTTTATCTTATGACTTATGTCGTAATATGCGCGGTGTGATTATTCAGTTTTTCAAAGCAAATAGAATTGACAATTGCACACAACAGAAAACTTTTTAGTAAAGAGTAAAGTTAGTAAAGTGTACAATACCAAATGAGCAAAGCTGCAAAGATGCTCTAGCTTTAGGCAATTGGGAAAACAATTTTACCACAGGAAATTTCTTTGCTCTTAAAAAAACTGAAAATTGCGCCCGGTGTGTTTATATAGGAACTGTTATATCTAGGGCATGCGAGATTTTTCGGTTTCTCAAACTGCGCTTCGTGTGAATGAAATTTCTAAGATCAGAGACAGACAGAGTGAAATTTACTACGAAATGGGAGAGTAGGCTATATATTTTACTTTTAACTTTTCCAGTCAGAAAAATTAATTGCCCAAGCATCCTGTGTGTGTGTGTGTGTGTGGGGCTTATGTCTATGTCTATGTCTATGAGTGAATTTAAAGCTATAAGTTTAGGAATGTTGCAGGGATTTGCAATTTTGCACTTGGGGCAGACACCATCGACATATTGAAAGTAGTTAAAAATTCCAAGAAACAATTCATTATATAGTGTCTTGTTGAATCGATTTCACGCTTTTGGCGTTTCTACTTGAATTCATCGAATGAGCTGTCGTCTGCAATCTGCAAAGTGTTGAGGTCAAGACGATCATTAAAATGTAGCAATTAATATCCTCAGTCACGCGAAGTGTTCATATTTGGTGTCATTGCTAGAGGGTTGCACCCGTATGTTACATATCTGTCAAGAGATATAGCCTGCATGGCCTATATATTTACCAAGTTGATGACTGCGTTTACTGAACTCAATGTGAAACCTCGTGACGTCACTGTATTATCAATAGCCCAGCCAATCATAAGGCTAGCTTGTACATACCCGTCTGGCGAGTAGTATCATTGGTTTTAATTCACTATATTACTATATCTTTCAGGATCTGCGTGTGTTATTACTCGAGATTACTCTCGCTGTGTATAAAGCCAGCCGTAAGGAGGCACAACCTACTCAAAGTATCCATACACTCGGCTGAGAAGAGCTAGAACACCATGCTTCCAGCAAGACTACCACCTTTGAGCTTCACTCCACAACAGATAGCTAATGTTTGCGAAACTTTGGAAGAAAGCGGAGATATCGAGAGGCTGGCAAGATTTTTGTGGTCACTACCAATAGCTCCAGCAACGCTTGAAGCGCTAAGTAAAATGGAAAGCGTATTACGCTCGCAAGCTATAGTCGCATATCACACAGGGAACTTTAGAGATCTATACTACATTTTGGAGAACCACCGTTTCAGCCGTGACTCTCATAGCAAGCTACAGATGATGTGGCTGGAAGCTCATTATGTCGAGGCAGAAAGGATGAGAGGACGATCACTTGGTCCGGTTGACAAATACAGAGTACGAAAGAAGTTCCCGCTACCACGAACAATCTGGGATGGTGAGCAAAAGACGCACTGTTTCAAAGAAAGAACACGTACACTACTGCGCGAATTTTACCTCCAGGATCCATACCCTAATCCTACTAAGAAGAGAGAGCTGGCGCAAGCCACAGGCCTTACTCCGACACAAGTCGGAAATTGGTTTAAAAATAGACGACAACGAGACAGAGCTGCCGCAGCCAAACACAAGTAAGTAAGAAATTGGCCAGTGTACAAATCTTCATAAAACATGCTGCATGAAAAACGAACGAAATAAAATCAATTGAAATATGCGATTACCAATCAGTTACCATTGTGTGAAATGGCTCGTTGTTTAAAGCTCCCTCTTATTTTTGTCCTGGGATAGTCCATAAATTAACCTGGATAAATGGATTTGGAAGAGTCAGTTGACGGTACAGCGAAGCTTGCATACTTCATTTGATGCACGAATAATCTAATCAGTAGCACTCACAATTTTGGCAAAAAAAACAAAGCAGCAAGATAGCTACACTCACATTTCAAGAGTCTGAGTATATTTTACCTTATGCATTTCTTAAAACTTACCGCAGAAACGGGGAAGAGCACACAGACGATATAGCACTATAGTATATCAGACATTAGTATTCCTATACTTGGAATATCATGTATTTCAACATTGTTTTACCATATATACAAAAGTATGCACATTCTTGTCTGTTTCCACGACTTCAATCTTCATCCAGCATTGCTCAGTATGTATTGCATCTCACAGGGACTTTAATATCATAAGTAAGCCGCTGAAGAAAACCATCTCCTTTGCGGTTTCTGGAAACTTGCGGATAATATATTTTGACAACAAAATTATCAAAAAGAAATTATTGCAAAGTCAGAATGCAAGAGCAGAAAAACAGCGCGACAGATTTCCACGAATGTTAATCTGACATGCTAAGAACTATAATCACAGTATAGCATATCATCAGTGAAAATGGAATACATACTTTCTTGTACATTTGCATAGCGATGTCATTTTGTTTTGTTCTTGTATCTTTTTTGTATTTTTATGAGATATAATGTGCTGCAGCATTAAAAAGTTTGCACGTTGTACGTTTTGCGGTAAATACATGCAGCCATATTCATGTATCATGTCGCGGTCACTTACAGAACTGAAAACAGCCAAAGGGTGCAAAGTTTAAATTTATTCATATATAGCTTCTGGCAAGGCTCCTGGCGCTATATTTGCTCGTATGTTATCTATTAGAAAATGTGGCAATTATCGTTGCTAAATTAGTAAGAATGACAGTGATTTATACGCCTTGCGAAACTATCAAGCGAAGCTAAATTGGACTCCATCTTCAACACTAGACTGATTTTTGTACACGTGTAAATTTCGAGAAAAAAATTGATGCGAAAAATGCAGCGAATAGTACTTTATCAATATTAATTTAATATCCTAAACTGTATCGCAAGACATTTATTATATATTAAAAGTGGCCAAACATGCAACATATAACTATATGTCAGTCCAATTACAAAATCCAATCGATTACTAAACGCGGTGTTTTGCACAAAAAAATCATAATCAATCTATACACAATGTGCGCAAAATATTCCAAAATCCTTGCAATGTTTGCGCATGCGGTGCAGAAGAAAAACGCAAAAACATTTAATGTTTAATGAGAAACGGAAAAAATAACAAGGCGACGTTAATATCTTTACACACTGCAAACCATTAACACTTAACTTTGTTTTTCCTTTTTAAGAAAGTAAACATTTAACGGGCGATCGATTATTGAGATAAGCACTCTCATTAACGCCGCCAACATTTCCCAATCCAATTTTGAAATATATGCGCGAATATTGGACAGATATTGCGGTTCGGTTTAGATCACCAAGAGACCATGCTGCTTAGAAACGTATAAACATTAGGTCAAAAAATGGTTGTATACATTGCCTATATAGGATAATATATCCATAAGCACGGTTAGAAGCTTCATGTATAGGAGGCTCTAATTATAACTATATAATATCTTAATTATACGTGGTGGTCTAATGTAGGTATAGATAATTGCGCGAGACAAAACTACCTGAAAAATACAAGGAGAACTTCGACGTTTCGAGCCAAGAGGCCCTTCATCGGGCAGATACTTCGCTCGATACGTCGAAGTTCTCACTTATATTTTTCAAAACGTTGTACTCCAAAGCTTAGCTTCTGTTATATCGTCCCTACCTACACTGGCACCCGAGATATCACGGATGACAAACTCGATTTTTATAAATGCTAAAAACTCCTAAACTGTGTACAGTACCTAAATATAAAATCTTATCAGTATTTTGTGAAGATTATGATCGTTCTTAATATATAGGGCAATGCATATTTTTTGGAACGGCCTAATATTGTGAAAATTTCACTCTTTCTAGCGCAGGTAAAAGTGAGCTTTGATTTCTCAGCAAGATTTTACGCTACGCCCACCAAAAAAACAAAGGCAAATAGCTAATATCTCAGTCTATGTTGATTTTCATGGATAGCTAGCCGCTTGAATTTTTTTAAACTATAGAAACCTGATTTCTGTTGTGCATTTCCCAGGCATATGCAGTCATGGGCTATTTCATGCGACACAAAGTCTAAATTGAAATTGTTATCAGTGATTTTGTTACTAAATCTGCGATGGTGCTACAGAGGTCTGTCACATGCATGGTATCATACAACTAGAAGTGGACTGCAGCTAAAATTGTAACTAGGAATCCAAATTTTATAAAGTACAATAACCCAGATGTCACAAACTTATGCATGTAGTAAATAAATATATAATCTATTAAACAAGAAATTTTAACAGTATTTCGCGTGCAAGCATGATGCCACATTTAGCTAAAACTAGTTGGCTTGCATGCTAAAGTTTTGCCAAATTCAAATTTTATCATGCATGTACATTTATAAGGTTATTGTCATATGCGCGTAGTAATTAATCAAAATAAGAAATTTTATCAGTGTTTCTCGCAGTCTGAGTCAGCTATATTAATTAAAAGACAGCTGCATCTTGGCAATCAGTATGTACTAGATGCCTGCGTCTTCAGATCCATATTAAGATTATAATATGATACTGAGACAGGAAGTGTGAAACATACTTGATAGGTGTTTTGATAGATGATAAAGACATGCTATATTAGAGCGTAATCTATACGCCAGCCCAGTGTTGATGTGTGATTTAAATATGCCCGCATTCCAAACCACTTTAGCTTGTTTAGTACAGATTGTGCACCTGTGATGAGGTGTAGTATAATAATTTGCACTATGCACTGAACTTTCTTTCCAAAGAATAGTTTTCTTTGCTCCAAGTGTATGACAGTGTGAACCTTTTTGATGACAGCAATTAAGGATGGCAGAAGGAAAGAGAAAGCACCTATCCAGCCCTTTCTAGTTTCTAAGAGGGGCAAAGGTGCCCTTTTAATTTATAAATAAAACAAAAAATACCTTTATAAGTTTACAATGCTAAATACGGTATGTTTAATGCTCGACTACGATAGTCAATATAGCGCATTTCATGGAATTTGTCCGATCTTCAAAAATCTAAACCGAGCTTCAAAAATCCCTCCTCTTGCCCGAAATCCCCCTCCTCCCTTGCTTTCTTGTCATTCCGGGGTCTTTGATGACACCACTATTACCGTAAAGACTCTCGTGCCTCTGGTGGACGTCCCAACCTAACAGAGCGGAGGATTGAAAAATAATATTGCATGATGAGGTTTGTTGATCAAGAATCTCACTCCACAGTCCACTGATCTATATATGTACTCATAATGTATCATTTATAAGCAGGAATTTTTATAATTAACTTCAGTGATTGGCTCTTACATCACTGCCACACATGAAACAAAACTACTCATTAAAATCTCAAAACCAAATTATTTCACAATAGTGAAAATAAAATCAAAGTCCATCTTATGCCCCCGCAAATTCAATATCTAAATTCCAACAACATATAGCATATCACATGGGCAATACAACCTGGCAACTCAATGTTTACATGATAGTACATCTGAGACACACCGCCTTCTCATATATATATATGTTTAGATATCTACAATTCTCAAAGTATGCATGTCTGTAACCAAGTGTGCAGAGTGTGTCGCATATCAAATATTTTATTGCAAACATTGGTATTATTTACAAGTGCAGACGTTATACAAGCCGCAAGCATCGAGCGGTGCCATATGCACCTTATATATACAGCTATGCCTATGGCTATGTAAATTGTAAAAGGTTGATCTATATACATTCTGCTTTCCTCCTCCTTGAACAGTCAAATTGCGCAAATTTATGGCCTTGCATGTATTAGTAAATACGCCTTTTGTCGTGGGAGGTAACCACGGTTAAGTATTCAGTTTATATCAGTGTTCAAACCAAGTCGGTGAATATTATAGCAATATATCAACTCCTCTACATATTACCAAGTTAACTTCGATAATTCTATTGAATAAAACCTCGCAAATTGAAAATATTTCGTTCAAATTGCTTCGATGACGCTCCTTGTAATGGCGCCATGCATGGTGGTCACTCAAAAATAAAAGGTGCGGCTTCATTTTTTGTATAGGTGTAGAAGCCGCTAGTCTGTGGTTAAGTATTTCTAGATAAGTGGAGGTAACAGACTGTAATGGAGAATTGCATGACTGAATCATGACTGGATGGCACTATCAGTTGCCAAGCTGAGTGTTATCCAGTTCACATGTTTGTATTAACCAAGTGTGGAGAATGTGTCGCATATCAAATATTTCGTTGCAAACATTGGTATTAGCTTCTATATCCACAAGTGGAAAAATTGCACAAGTATACTATGTCAACTATACATAAGCACCTTATACGGAGAAGTGAAGAATTCGACCTACATCAAATTATTTTGCAATTGTGCTTCTCTTCTTTCTCCGATAATAAAAATCCAAGTAGTCAACCAATGCTTCTTAGCCTTGCAATTATTAGCTGTATATGACACTATTATGTTTTTCAGTTCAAGATGTATCTTATATTATGCAGGATTGGTCATATATATCAAATATTTTATTATACAAACATTAGTATTAGCACAAGTGGGGAAGCTACACAAGAATGAAGAAGATAAGCACCACCTTCATATTTGGAGAATTTAACCTACATGGAAGTATTGGGCAATCGGCCGCCAGTCCCCATATTTCTCCTTTTTGCCAAATAGTCATTAACCCAATTCATTAACCCAACCCCTATGAAATTTTCAGTTGCGCGAGTTCTTTTTCAAAAATATGTAAACAGCGAGCTTAGCCCGCCTTTCCCATTCAAGGGAGTAAACTGATTTCAGTGTAAAGCCCGGGAGTTGGCAGTCAGGAATTGTTTTGGGGGACATTTGAAGCTATAGATTAACAAAATAAAGGTTTGATTGCTTGAAGGTTATTGAGGCCTATAGTACACATGTCGCGTCCATCGTGCACTGAATTTAATGTAAATATAGCCTAAGCTCATTTGTTTGACTTCGTGAAAGGTTCAACATTTACACTATAGATTTGAATCTGAGTATAGGCGAGCTATACAAGCGTATTTTGTTAAGGCGGGTCTACACTATCGAAGTTTCTGTGATCACAGTAGGAATTTTGCAATGGTAAATTCTAAGTTTTGAAGGATTTATAAGAATTATAAATGTTTGATGGAACTGAGTCGGTGTTAACACACGAGTCATTTCCTCAAAAATTTCTTACAGATCCTTCAAACCTATGCAAAATTCCTATTGTGATCACAGAAACTTTGATAGTGCCAGCCTTAAGATGCAGAGCGTGCCGGCTCACTTCTAGAATAATCAGACGAGTTCAATTCGCTAAGGGGACCCTCTTTTTCTGCATATAATCCTGGAGCCAGCCCTGATTCGATACAATCGAGAAAGGGATCAAACAGAACCATCCAAAGAACGCATGCACTGAAATTTTACAGCTGCTTCGTACACAGTAGTTGGCAGTAAACACATGTAGCTATACTTTAATTGTTATCGTGGTGGTTATGCGTGTTTGTTTGGAATTTTGTTTCTGGAATAGCAAACTGTTTATTCCATTGCTTGTCAGCAAGAAATTTTATCAACTGTTATATTCAAGCTGTAGCGCATTCTATGCATATTATTTCATCGCCTGCAACCTCACCAATTGCTTCTGTTTATGCTTGCAAGGAGGATAAATATAATTGATTAATTTTTGTGGTAAACTGCACTAATTAAGTCGTATTTTTTTGCAACGTTCTTCAATCCGTACGTAAGCATGAATCCTGAACAGTGCAAGTAAGCAGAAATTCCAATAAGCGCAATACGTCTTAATCTTTGAGAATTTGAGTCTATTTGAAATTAACATTAGCACTCTATATAAATACCAGAAAATGAAACGAGGAGGTACGGGAAGTAATATGTATAGAGTCAGCTAACATCAAATTTTATACATTGACTTAAAAAGCGTGATAGCTATATGTCTATTCTCAGAATATCAGACAAAGAACAGCTTGCTCCATAGACTTTAATTGCTTTAAACATTTCTTTAAAAACATAGACATGCGGACGGAAAAACCTGTGGGAATACGTCGCATTATAGTCTCGTGCTGACAGACATTCATTAGAGGTTTCTGGTAAACAAAAAATGATAGAAAAATTTTGTCAATAAGTCGGTTGACGCGTTTTTAAGTAAGCAAGCAAAACACGTTATATGCCACTGATCTAGTCACGATTCAATTTTCCTATTGTCTTTTGTATATTGTATTGTTTTGAAAATCTTCATTATCTCCATGTTGTCCAGTCACTCAATGCTGGTCTATATATTACAGACAGTTGAATATCAACCATGGAGTGAGATTGAATGATCTGAAACATGCCTTTCAGAGTCTCAAGTGTTCAATTATCCATGTGTGTTTAAAGAAATAGTCATGATATATCTCGTCTTCTATACGCAGCTGCTAGTGCAGGTCGTTCCTCCCATAGATATCTTATATACACTAGATAGTGCATCTAATTATTCTGCAATTCAAAAATTGAAGCAGTGATTGCAGACTCAGGATATTCCCATGAAATGAGAAGACTCGTAGGTTTCCTATTTCTTAAACAGGGAACTTAAACATTAAGTTAAACCTATTCCAAATACATTTTCAAACTATTCAAATGATGAAAGTTATTGTTGTTTTTTAAGCGTTTATTAGCGAGTGGGAAACTCCAACATGGCCGCCATCTATTCAAATGGGGGTAACCGCTGGAATATTCTTGGCTTCAATTTTACTAAAAGCGCTATCTAGTGTATATAAGATATCTATGGTTCCTCCCTTCGGAGAATATCAGTGAGGTTAGATTTGCCCACCACAATCCTCAAGGCCCATTCAAACAACGACAAGATGTTGGTCCAACACATCTGGTCTAATATTGTTGGATCTACCAGTGATCTGATCATCTCAAACTAATTTTAAAATAATTCATGAGTAACGATTAGCCAACCATATTGCTTTATTTTGCTCACATGATAATACTGGATGGCTGGTGAAGTACATTGATCCAGTCCTAGGACTGTATCAAAATTAATTCAGTCCTTGGACTGTATCAAAATTAATACACCTCACTTTAAGTATATAGTGATTTATTCGTAAGAGATGTCATTTCAAATCCAACTATGAGGACTGGATTAGATCCTAGCATTCTAGTCCTAGCATTTCTAGTCCTGAGCACTGGGCTCAGTGTCGGATTTGAAATATTACTTAACTCAAATCTTGTTTTGCATACTAACCAACCAAGTATTTTCTCTGTTGTTTCCTAGATCCCAATCAAAATCACCTCACGCACACGGCGGCAGTGTCTCGAGTGAATCTGACCGCGAAAAAAACAATTCAAGTGATGAAGAGAATGGGAAAGATTATTGAACACTGGCTTCGCCGCTCATGAAAAACTAGAAAAAATGTATAAATATATAAAATATATATATATACTAGAAATTGTGCTAATTAGTGTCAGGTATGTAATTATTCATGAATATATATTATGAAGTAAAATGAACAAAGTTGGATGTCTTAGACATTAGAATAGGTTTTAAATGATTTGTGTAATATATTGCTTATTAGTTTGTAGATTGCGCGATGGAATGATCGCATATGGCCTGGCTTACACAATGTACTGGTAAATTATACAATTAGGCAATTTATAAGCCTAGCTACTACAAATATTACGGTGTTAAAATTTCATAATAAAATTAACCATTAAATTATTGAATCTGAGAGTACATTATTTCTTCATGTGAAGCCGGGTATACAGGAATCAACTGAATTGGCGTATTGGTGGCTGTGATCAGTGGTGGTCCACTCATAGGTGTACGGGGCTGATGCTTTTCGGGGGGGGGGAGTTGAAAGTTTGCCCCCCCCCCCCCGCAAAAAAGGAAATATTGTGATGAAATAAACTAAATTTAACATAGATTCTGGTAAATCTGCCCGAATTTTCTTGATTTTTCCTAGAATTTGCCCGAATTTCCATGGTTTTCTAAAGTGTTTTTTTTTGGAGGGGGAGTTGCCTCCCCCCTGTCTTGTACGCATGTGAAAAGAGTGCTTCCAGATTTGTGGCCGTATATATTCACCTGTTTCCTCGGATTCCTCCTGCAGTAACACTACCCCAAACAGAAATGGCCTTTATTGACCTCACTCGGACAAACAGTTTAGATCTGGAAGACCAACAAGGGGTGACTTTTACTGGACGTCCTCTAGGAAGAACTATTTGGAACTGATAAGGCTATATTCAGTATAAGTATAGTTGGCTTTAGTTTAAGTTTCCTTCTGGACTAACAACAGATGAACAAGAAATGGCCTTTACTGGACCTCTAGAGAGAACAGTTTAGAACCGATAGAGCTATCTAGTATAAAATAGAATTAGTTTAGTTATAGTTCCTTCTGCTTCAACACTGAATCAAAAAAGGCTTATCCTGACCACTGTCATGAACAATTTTAGAATGATAGAGCTATCCAGTATAAAAATAGCTTAGATTGGTCAGTGCTAAGCTGTGTTAGTTGGATAAGCTGAAATTGGATATAACACCCCCACATAATCTCTAAAAAAGCTAGATAAACTACACAGACTTATTTTTTTTATACTGGGTAGCTTTGCTGATCATTTTGTGTCTAAACTGTTCTTCCTTAATGGTGCAGTAAGACCGAATCCAGAGGTACGGGCGCATTTTCCACACATGGACGAAATTATAATCAGACAACTGAATATCGCAGGAATTGAACCTCGGTCACAGAAGTGGAAGCACAAGCCATAACCAACTACCATGCATGGACAGGTGCCACAGGGATTTTGTTCCCGGTAGATTGGTCCTCCCGGGGCTATATACCTACGAATAACGTCCTCCCCACAACAGGGTGCATAAAAAACAGCAACTCTATAATTTGCATAACAGCCACTGCTAACTAGCATTTCAATGCCTCTGCAAATTATTATGCTCCTCAAGGACGGATTTTCATTTATTTAAAAGGAGGGGTAGAAAAATTTCTGGTGGGGTGCAAGCTGCACCACTCAGTGAGCTTCGACAGGAGTTAGGCGTTTGGGTTAAAGCCTTTCACACATAATAGGAGGGGTGAAGCAAAATTTTGGTGGGGGTGAGCACTTTATTAGAGGGGTTAGAGAGATTCTAGGGGCTAACCCCCCTAGTAGAGATTCTAGGGGCTAACCCCCCCCCCGTAAGTCCGCCCATGATGCTCCTGGGATTTGAAAATACGTTCTAATTGTCCACGTTGTACAGTACCAGGGATGCCAGATTGCTGAATAAATCAATCAAACATTCCAACAAAGAAAACAAAAGGTCATTATAATAATATTTGGCCTATTTATTCAGAAATCTGACAACCCTGTACAGTACATCCGCAAGCATGAAGTTTGTAAATCTGAAACAACACGGCCCCTCATCAGTGCTGTATATATTACATAAATCCTACTTTATACGGGTAAAAATAAATTGTTGTTGTTGTCTGGGGATTACCAGTCTAATCAGTTGGATTATAGGGGCGGCACGCGAGTTTATTAACCAGCTTATATCTGCATTTCCCGCTTAGTCTTAGATTATAAAAAAAAAAAATTCACTTGTCCGTGAATGTTAATTTATTACCATATATACACAAAATACCTCAGCACGCGTTACCAAAAACGTTTCACAGCTTATTAATTACGATAAATCTGCTAAGATTATAATAGGATTTAGGTGTTACTGTGATCCGTCACGTTTTAGCACAATTAGCAGACAGAATTGACCTTCCAGCTAAATAGGGCAAATAAAATGTAGCTTCTTTTTGTGACATTTCTGTGGGAGGACACCGGAGAACCCTGAGTAAAAACCCAGAAATTTCGGTAGAGGCTTGAATAAAATTAAACATTTTCCACATAAGTGTCATGAGAATTAAGTCACGTGGAAAATTGGACCATGATCTAGTTAGAAATGAATGGCACTTGCTCCAACGAATATGCAAACGAAGCCCTCCATACACTTCGTGTTAACTATTAAGTATGGAGCGAATTGTACGAAGAATTTTTATCAGGATTGCAGAGATTATATATTAGTCAAACAAACAAATTTAACGTTTCTGAAATTCATTAAAAATTAAATCTATTAATATTTATTTTACAACGAATTCCCAACATTTCCCAATCAATCTAGGTTATCTAGCTATAACACACGATATACTGTACCCTATATAAAAAGTCTTTCAAATCTTGTAGTACAAAGCGACTGTTTGACTCGGTGATGTCTGGAGGCTACTGTTAATCATCTTCTTCAATCCAAAATCCGTCTCACGGACGATCAATCAGATTCCAAAAGTGTCCGAAGCGAAATTCGCGGCAAAATCTATTGCTTGATATACATGGCATTGACTTTGTCCCGCAATTTTTGTTGAGCTGCACGATGCATGATGTGGGCTGGCCATATTCGTATTTAATGAAAACTGCTCAGAACAGCTTCCATACTTTCCAGGGTTTCTTTCACACGTAACATACGAGTCGTAGGCTGTATTGAAAATCATTGACCACGGTTCTTTTATGTCGCTACAAAATTTTAAAATATGAATGTGTATATTTTCATAATATAGGTGATACCTGTAAGTGTGAGACTACAGTACATAATGGATGTGTGGATTTTGATATGAATCTTTTTGCTTACTGCTCGACGGAATGAGGAACTCACTAAACACTCTTATGGTGCATGTAAATGCATATAGTGGTTAAAATCCATAGCTGATCAATCAGCATACAAACCTTCTTCGTTGTTTAGTCATCCTAATTCGTTGTCTTTTATTCTTGAACCAGTTACTGACTTGAGTGATTGTCAAGTTCGTCTGTTCTGCCAACTTTCGTTTGTCCCCCAATGTGGGGTATGGTTTCTCTTCGTATGCCTTGGAAAATTACAACTGCATTTTCAAGGGTGTGGAGGGCTAAGGGGGGGGGGGGGGGGGTTGTATTCCTGTATATTCCCCTGGAAATGTTTCCTGTGTGGCTTTGTTTCCCACAAAGATTTTACCAAACATTTCACCTATGATTTTTTGGCTTCCATTGTTCCCACTGCTCTCTAGAAACCCCTGGAAGACCCACATTAGAGCATTTCCTCTTACATGATCTTAATTCAACTTAGGTGCAGTAGTACTTGTATACTCGTGTTGTAATAACATTTTTTAGCATGTACTCTTCACCATTATTTCTGCAATATGCAGTATGCTCATTGGCTGGTTATAATTTCTCTATAATCGCATGTGAGAGGAATACTTCCAGTTTGACTCTACCTAACACAGCAAGTCTCGTCCGGGTACTACAGTTTTCTTCTGTTGTATCAGTGGATACTGAGGAATGGTCTTTACTGGATCTCTAGGGAGAACAGTATGGAACTGAAAGCTAGTTAGTTTAGTTTAGTTTTCACGCGGGTAGAATTGAGCATGTCAAGCACACGGAGGGGCAGACGTCATATCGAAAATTTGAACTACCTAAATTCCTCAGAGGTTGTAATAGGGCTAGAGTCTCCCATTGTGCTTTCTTCGCATGCAATTAACTCAGAGAGCAAGTCACTGGGAAAAATTTTGAAAATCCATAGAAGGTCATAGAATGGAAATTGTATGGACCTTTATTGGAAATAGAATGGATTTTGATTATCCATAATAATTGTATATTTCCATAGTGTGGATATAGTATCGAAATAGTATGGATATACTATGGATTTAGTGGTGCAATTGCAAATTTCGTAGTATGGATTTCACTTTTTTTCCAGTGAGTAATAGCTTATTAACTTCATAAATATAGCCAGAAAGATTTTCAATAATCATACCCCGTTCAAAACCTTCCTTGTCTCTTCTTGAAAACAGTAACTCTTCTCCCGACCACTTGAGATCGTCCTGGGACTGGGGAACTTTCTTCGTATTCTATACTTCGCGACAGCGTCCAGCGACCTCGCTCTGCACCTCTCTGCCTCCATATAACGTGCCTTGAACCAAAGACGCTGCAATTTCTCGTGGAATTCGTCGGAAAACTGTCGACTTTCCAAGATATGGTAGAGTTCGGGAAAATCACCACTATGAAACGCAGCCACTGCACGAAAAACCGCGATAGACTCAGAAGATGAAATTTCTTTCACCGAATAAGGCAAAGACCATAGGAATCTACTTAATCGATCTAGCTGACCATCGTTTTCCAAAAATTCACAAAAGCGAACTATATCTCCGACAGAAAATGGCATGGGGTGCATTTTAGCTCAGCTTTTGTATATTTGATACGCTTCTTAACAATAGCCTAAAATAAGAATTATCCTATACTATACACTACGCAAATGGCGTTATTGCATGACTGGCAAATTTTCATTAAACACTGCGTTTTATATTGATTCTTACTTAGCTCATTAAAATTTATAAGGAAAATACATTAATATAAAGCAGTATTTACTGTTTGAATCTGCGCAATTATATCTTAAACCAATGGTGTAGTGTTATATATGCATGATGAGAAAAGCTAAACATACTAAGTATTTAAAAAAATAGTATATTGGTTCATGGTGCAATTTATGTTTCCCGGCGAACATTTAAGCCCAGTTCACTCACTAGCAATTCTGTCGGCGATTTTTCTCCTCCTGGAAGATGTGATCGAATGAATGACATGCAAAAGACTTAGAATTGTTTACTTCTGAAAAGCGACTCTATACTTTTGTGTGTGAGTTCACTCATTTGCATCCGTCAGAAACACAAATTAAAATCGCCGACAAAATTGCTGGTGTGAATGAGGCTTTAATAACATGCATGCACTAAGTTATAATTTAAAACTTTTGGCACTGATTTAATACACATCTCGTATAGATGAATGAATTATCACATGTGGGGGAGGATTCAATCTTTTTTGAATATATAGCTTGATTTTTAAAACTTGATTGGATATACTATCTTGGCATAAATAGTCAAAGCTGCAGACTATTAATTTGTACGTTCGTTCGTGCTCGCCTTAGCCAGGTGCGCAAACACTTTTAACAATAGCAGGAATAACAATATTAAAACGCCACGCAATTGTATTAGTTGTGCATACATTTCTATTTTAACTCTGAGAATCAGTGCATGTATATCTGTTGGTTGTAAAGTATTAAAGCAATGTTGCAATTTTATTTATCCTGCATTCTCTCTCCCCATACTCAATATAGTGCATGATAGGCTAACGTTATAGGCGTCCGTTCTGAACACACATCAACACGATAACTTTATTCAGATGAAATTTTTAAAAAATTAGAATTTACAAAGAATTACCATATACAAAAGATACAAATGAAACATATTTCAAATAAAAGAAAAAAAATACGCCGAACACTATTTTTTACATTAGCCATAGCTACTTATATGAACTTATACAGAATAATTATTCACTATTATTATTATTATTACTACTACTATAAAATTCATATTGTGTATAAATCAATGAAAGTACATTTTCGCATACTGATGAACATCGCATAGGGCACATTGATGGGTTTCATTCAAGCGTTACGAGCCTGCAGATAAGGGGTGAACTTCATGAGAAATGTCGAGCCTATTAGAAGCTGATGGATCGACATTTCTTTAAAGTTGCTCTTGCCCCTAATAGGGTGGATATTTCTGAATTTGACACCCATCCGCTGCGCCGTAACGTTTGAATAAAACCCACCAACAGTACAATATATATCATACATAAAAGAAGTTGCAGCCAGCAGCCTGAGGGAATAGGACGCAACTATAAAGATTATATGCTGCCTACTAAGACAGCGCCTGAAGCATAGTTAGTTATATCCTTATATTAAAACAATTGCCGATCGTGCATGTATAAGCTCATTTACAATTAGAGAGCGAAGTCAAATCCAAGTTTCTTGTTGATAATATACCGAGAGTATAGCATAATTAGCATTAACAATGAATCTATTTAGTATAAACAGCTAAGTGACAATGTCAGCAGCTCTTTATGAGATCTTAAATATTACAAAACGACCGAGATCGTATGTTCAAATATCAGTACCAACGTGGCAACGTTGTTGTAGTCTAATTCTGAAACTCCCAAATTACTAGAATAAATCATCATCATATGTTTAAATATTGCCTACCCTCAGCTGTCCTAGCGATAATTCCGTCTTTGTTAAGGTTTTATTACACAGGGTTATTGCCCGCGTGAACTCAATATTGTATTTGTTTTACACTAACAGTTGAGTAAACAGCACATATGCATGAACGAGTTATAGGTAATTAAATACTTGAACACAAGGATGTATAAATTAAATTATTGCATAAATTATTGCATAAACTTGGATTTTTAAATTATTCTAAAAATATTGAAGATCATGTCCCCTCATGTATTTATGCTCCTCAACTGAAATCTTATATAAAGTAGGCACTGATTTGAGATCTCATGGTACCTAGAGTACCTAACCTGCGAACAGGTTTGCATAATTTACAGAAATAATTCCTCAGAATGAAATTACAACTACATGATTTTGTTTTGACATTTGCGCGGCAGGTTGTGTACAGTGCAAAAAATACAAAGGTCCTGGCCACAAGCTAGTTTATACCAGTGGTTTTGCTTAGACTTACTTATATTTGCTTGCAAAGCAACTGAATTGTAGTACGAGGCATTTATTTTTTAAAAAAACAAGATGTTCCTTTACGAATTATGGCGATATGGGTATAATGATAGCTACTGTCACTTGTGTTCAGGGGAGAAACTTCGGTATTACGGCTGGGGGAGGGGTAGTTTCGCCCCGGCTTGTGTTTCTTCATGCATGGTTAATTTATTCTTTGAAAAGTATATTTGTAAAATTATGGAGTCCTTCGTCCCTTACTTCGCTTCGCAAGTGTAACTGGTAGCTTTGAGATTTACTGACGAAGCTTAGATCGTGCGAGGCTTTGCTTATAAGTTTACAGTGCTCGAAATAGTGCAAAGTTTCAAACGTTTTTTTGTGCAAATTGAATAATCTCAGCATGGAATTAGAATATTTTCCCTGTAGTGAAGTATAGGGCAAGCAACGCTCCAGCAACAGCCAAAATACCTATGTAAGCCAATAACACACCAAAACAAAAATGTTTTACTTTCCTGGAAGATGTCAGCGCTGATTCATAATCATTCTCCTCCACTGCCTCCCTCACCTGGAAAAATATAATGAGAAATGGGAAAGAATTTGTAAGAATAAAGAAATTAAAAAATAAGAACACAAATAGACCGAATAGGTAGTGCAGTTTGCAAAGTTTTGCAGTGACTGGTGTGGGTATGCAGATAGGTTGGTAGGTGGGTAACTTAGGTAGGCAGGTACAATCAGGAGCAAAAATTATTGAGACAACCGCATAAGTGCCCCCCCCCCCCTCACCCCCAATTCAATGTTGTGTGAATGACTGAAAAGAGAAAATTCAACCCACTTTTTCCAACATTGATCACGGGGGCAGGGGGAGGCCGACGTACTTTAAAATGGCCAAAAATGTGAAAAGTCTCATTATTTTTGCACGCGATTGTAGGTAGGTAGTTAGTTAACTTAAGTAGGTAAGTAGGTAGGTAGGTGACTTAGGTAGGCTGGTAGGTAGGTCGGTAGGTACGTTAGGTAGGTAAGTATAGGTAGGTCGTTTACCTGCGATTGTAGGTAGGTAGTTAGGTAACTTGGAAAACACAGGATACAAGATAGTACTGCGCATAATGTGTACGATGATGGCTCCTCCTTGAGAACAACGCGTCCAACGTTTGGTTTCTTAAGAATTGATTTCTAGAACAAAAATGATATAGCAACGTTTCACTGACGACGAGGTGTTGGTGGTACGATGGATGAGTGCATGCGGTGCGATGGCCACGGTTTGTGGCTAAAAAGTACGCCGGATTTCGGCATACCTCACCACCACGGTTTGTGGCTATAAGGTAGGGCGGACTAACAAGATATAGCCATGGACATATCTAGTAAAACGTTAGCCGAGTTTATGTGGTACTGCTAGAACTATACAGTAAAAATAGTTTAGGTTTAAGTCTAGTTTAGGTTTCCTCGTGTGCTAATACTAGCTGCACTAATGAGGCATGGTCGTTATTGCATCTCTAGGAAGAACAGTTTAGAATTGATAAAGCCATGCATGAGTTCTTTCAATGGCTTCCTCCTGTAGTAACACAGCACCAATTTGACCATACTGGACCTCTTGAAAGAACAGTTTAGAACTGATAGACCTATCCAGTACAAATAAAGTTAGTTTAGTTTAGGTTTCCTCCTGTCCTAATAGAAAGGACAGAAAGAACAGTCTAGAACTGATTTTAAATTTCTATGTATGTCCAGCGATACTCACCACGCTCACTTCACTCGTGCCAGATCTTGCTGAATGATGCGAGATGTTGCTGCTGGCGCCACTCTGATTGGACCGTACACTTGAAGCGGGAGAGGCCGACCGTGAGGTCTGGAGACGAGGTTTGGGAGCAACTGGTGGGGGTATAATATTCCTATATTTCTCATGGACAGAATTTGATTGGTTAGACGCTGAATCATGTGACACAGTACTATTTCTCTGGTTTGATATTCCTATCATTCCATCTTGTTTTTTCGGAAACGAAGTCTGTCTAGCAATCCATAATTCTAGATCATCACGCTTATTGTCATTTTTATCCTTGGTCGCCCTGTTTTGTTCATGACCAGGTCCATTACGACTTGTACTCATGCGCACCCCTTTGTAGCTGGCCCTCATATGACCATTATCACTTACTGTCCCGTTTTGATGTCTTGTGTCTGTAATGTCCCCTCTATCAATAGTTTTCCCACTATGTCTAACATCCCCATTCATTAGTCTCATCTCAGTAGCACGAGCTATCCCTGGTGAACGCCTTGAGTTACCACGTACCCTGCCATATCCACCATCATCTCTGAAGGACCACCTGCCTTGTTGTTTGAGATGCGAGTTCTCTCTGGAATAATTTCTTTGGTTATAAATATCCTCGTATTCCAGCGAACCTCTATTCAGCCGAGAGGGATCCAAGGGTACATGTCTTGCTTTAGACATCCCTCCTTCATGAGACTTCCTTGTGCCCGAACGGACATAAGGGGGTATGGAAGGATTAGACGTGGTAACTGGTGGTCTAATGTGCTTTCCTTTCCCACCTAATTCATCGAGGTAATAATGTCGTTGGATTTCAACGACATATGGCTTCGCACGTGCTGATGAGTGGGCCATCAAATTTTCCTGTGAATGAAATATGTTACATGCAGAATAGCAGCTGATGATACAATCTGGGCTGGATACTTGGCTGGCTTTGGCAAGCTTCGTCACTACCAAATGTTAGCCCAAAATTGACCAAACTGGCCAAAGCCAGCCGAGTAAAGGTTTAAAGGTTCAAGGTCTTGGCGATCTCGTAAGCATGCCCGTGCGCAGGTTAGCTATGCCCGACACCTAACCTGCGAACAGGCGTGCTCTGGGAACGACATTGAGGTCAAGGCTGAATGACATAGTTGCTAGTTCATGTGCATTTTATCTTTGTCAGACTGGGGTTCCATTCCTGCAATATATAGTCGTCTGTATAATTTCACCTCAGGAAAACAATTGTGCAAATTAAAATACAATGACAATGTATATATGCACTATACTCCCATACTTATCCATAGCACGGAAATTGAATTGCATAACATTTTCAACTATAGGATCTATACTATCTCAACAATAAGGATTTCGAAAACACTTCCAGTTAAGGTACGTTCCAGACTCCAGGTTCTGTTCTGGAATAATATTAGACCAACAGGCAACAAAACTAGCTATTGTCTTTACTAGGACCTCTATTGAGAACAAGTTCAACACTTTAAGCGGCCATTCAGTATAGAAATAATGTGAATTTTGTTTTGTTAACTAAAGCTTTGTAATGTTATGAACTTCGGCAAATATGAGTTGGTACTTTACAATCGATATAGCTATCAAGTATAAACAAAGTCTTTATGGACCAATATGGAGATAAGACTGCAAAGAGTCGGCTTTTGGATCATATGTAAACTTTGTTCTATAACATTATAAAGAGTCGGCTTTTGGATCATATGTAAACTTTGTTCTATAACATTATAAAGAGTCGGCTTTTGGATCATATGTAAACTTTGTTCTATAACATTATAAAGAGTCGGCTTTTGGATCATATGTAAACTTTGTTCTATAACATTATAAAGAGTCGGCTTTTGGATCATATGTAAACTTTGTTCTATAACATTATAAAGAGTCGGCTTTTGGATCATGTGTAAACTTTGTTCTATAACATTATAAAGAGTCGGCTTTTGGATCATATGTAAACTTTGTTCTATAACATTACAATGTTATCTAAGTAGTTTAGTTTGGCAACAAGTACCTGTCAATGTAGTCGTGCCTGCAAGCAAATATTGAAATATCGTTTCATATTTTTCTAACAGGTGCAGAGATAAGTATCAGTAAAAACTTCCGTCATGTTCTCCAATCCGAGCTAGCGTTATAACTATTTCACCTTGATAAGACTGCAGGAAAATAGATAAATCTTCCGCCCAAAATTAGTCTAAAGCGTAAATTGTATTTGAGCAGTCAGGTCGCGAGCTAAAACCTTTTGAGCATGCAGTGTTTTGTTGATAAATTCGAATTTACTACTGTAGGGAAACATCATCTCGCTGCAGTATAGAAAATTCTAGTCAAAGTAAATATTCAGTACCGGTTTCAAACTTGCGTCCGGCGCAAACCAATCAGTTTCAGCCGATGAAAATGTCAATCCAATTAGATAGAGGAGACGGATATTGATGACGTTAACTCTTGTGGAACTCAGTGGGAGAGTTTGAAAAATCACACTCGAAGATGCTGAAGAAAATTATTGTTTCCGATCCAAAAATTTCCCCACACTCAGATAAATTCTATATTTGTATATCCTTGATCATACAAATATTAAATATTAATGATATATAAACGTGAGGTCTAGGACTATATATATGTAAGTGTATTTATAGCGATCTCGTCTGACTGATTAACAATGTTCTACACAGTTATGCCTTTTGAGTTTTGTCGCTCTGCATGTAATGATAAGCTTAACCTTTTTGCCGCAATGATTTGATAATCTATATCACTACTCTAATTTGTTGAACAAATTTCTACTATTTTTGGCTCATTCATCAACAGAACAGTCAAGAATACACACGCGATTAACTGATTGAAAACGAATAATTCAGTTCTCTTACCATCCGCTAAAACTAGGATAGGAATATGGCTATAGTATCTGACACGAAAAAAACAGCAAATGTATCGCCTGCCTTTGCTATGCAAGGGGTATGCAGGTCAAACACATCCAAATAATTTAAACAATGAAGTGTACAATCTTAAAAAAATAACCGAATTATATTCATTGTTAGTCCAATCGTAACAGTTTTCCACAATTTTGTCAACCATCTATATATACATCCAACTATAGTTCATTATATAATCTCATTCTATGAGAAGTCTAGATATCAGCGGCCAGCCTGGAATGTTCTATATACTCACAACAAACAAACCAACTTAGATACGGACATACGGAACTATACTCTACAGACCTTTTTCGTAACTCTGGTTTTAAATAAATGAATATAATCAAAGAACAAATTTTATCGCCGGTGAGTTTAATGAGCTCATGGGATTCATTTATTTAAACTAAAGTAGCAAAATATGTCTGATAATATATTTGGTTGCTAGCTGTGAACTTGTATAATTATAAAATTCAAGTCTGCTGAATTTAATGCAATCTTACCTATGATAATCACTCGAAATTCAATCTTTGTTTACATAGACATCTTCTCTTCATCCACAAAAGTTATACATCCCTTATTTTAAGTATCATAACAGCTTTAACGAACGGCTCTTTTCTAATCAACCATGATTGCAAAACGTTCAAGAGTCGTAGAGAAGTTATTTTGTGATCATATGGAATACAATTGCAATAACTTCGCGTGATTGCATGCTTCGCAATATGAGGCAAGCCAGGTTTCTAAAGAAAATTGAATATAAAATAAGATAACCTGCCGTGAGAACTAATTGAGATCAACGTCAAACAAACGGGCACGTGAGAAATACGCAGGTCACTTTCCATAAAAATGCCCCAAAACTAGTTTCTGTTAATATCGTCATCATGTATTACTCGCACGAATATTCTTTGTTCTTGAGGCAAATCACAATCTTACAGGCCTAACCCTAAACCGCCTTGTGACAGTAACATAACGATACGCAACATTGCAACCAACTACGTCACAATGAGACTCCTGAATAATTTCAAATATAGAAGATGGAACCCGTGGAGGGAGGGGGGGGTGTAAACTGGAAGGCTAACCCCCCCCCCCCCGCGTTAGTCTTCCAGTTTACATAGAGTTCACTGGTAGACCTCAAGCGAACCTAATATGAAGGCGATATATTCTATCAAGATTTCCGCCATCTCAATCGATATAATGGTTTTGAAGATGGAAATTTATACATTTATTAGACCTATAACCAGGAGCAGCTGTGAAAAATACAACTATGAACCCGTCAACAATGATATATTATAGAGCCATTGGATGTTTATGCCGTCGAATGTCTTCCGCATAAACATTCAAATTCAACTTGGATGGTTATGCCGTTGACTGTATTCGCGGCATAACCATTCAAGTTGGATGGTTATGCTGAAGACAGTCAACGGCATAACCATTCAATTTGGATGGTTATGTCGTTGTATGTCATCGGCATAACCATTCAACTTGGATGGTTATGCCGAAGACAGTCAACGGCATAACCATTCAATTTGGATGGTTATGCCGTTGAATGTCATCGGCATAACCATTGAACTTGGATGGTTATGCCGTTGACTGTATTCGCCATCGGCATAACCATTCAACTTGGACTATGGTTATGCCGAAGACAGTCAACGGCATAACCATTCAATTTGCATGGTTATGCCGTTGAAAGTCTTCGGCATAACCATTCAACTTGGATGGTTATGCCGTTGACTGTATTCGCCATCGGCATAACCATTCAACTTGGACTATGGTTATGCCGAAGACAGTCAACGGCATAACCATTCAATTTGCATGGTTATGCTGTTGAAAGTCTTCGGCATAACCATTCAACTTGGATGGTTATGCCGCTGACTGTCTTCGGCATAACCATTTAACTTGGATGGTTATGCAGTTGACTGTCTTCGGCATAACCATTCTACTTAGATGGTTATGCCGAAGACAGACAACGGCATAACCATTCAAATTGCATGGTTATGCCGTTGAATGTCTTCGGCATAACCATTCAACTTGGATGGTTATGCCGTTGACTGTCTTCGGCATAACCATCCAACTTAGATGGTTATATACGTTATGCCGTTGAATATCTTCGGCATAACCATTCAAGTTGAATGGTTATGCTGAAGACAGTCATCGGCATAACCATTCAACTTGGATGGTTATGCCGAAGACAGTCAACGGCATAACCATTCAATTTGGATGGTTATGCCGTTGAATGTCATCGGCATAACCATTGAACTTGGATGGTTATGCCGTTGACTGTATTCGCCATCGGCAAAACCATTCAACTTGGATGGTTATGCCGAAGACAGTCAACGGCATAACCATTCAATTTGCATGGTTATGCCGTTGAATGTCTTCGGCATAACCATTCAACTTGGATGGTTATGCCGTCGATTGTCTTCGGCATAACCATTGAACTTAGATGGTTATTTGGCATAACCATTCAACTTGGAGTCTTGAATGTCATCGGCATAAGCATTCAACTTGGATGGTTATGCCGTTGACTGTATTCGGCATAACCATTCAACTTGGATGGTTATGCCGAAGACAGTCAACGGCATAACCATTCAATTTGCATGGTTATGCCGTTGAATGTCTTCGGCATAACCATTCTACTTAGATGGTTATGCCGAAGACAGTCAACGGCATAACCATTCAACTTGGATGATTATGCTATTGAATATTATCAGCATTACCATTCAACTTGGATGGTAGTGCTTTTAAAATTGAATGTCATTGTTATTACCATTCGACATATAATTCAAAAAGTCAATCATAACGATGGTTCAGTTTAATCGAAGAGTATGCGCCCCCGCCCCCCCTAAAAGCGCGGAGGCATTTGCCATATGGATAATCCGGGGCGGCACTGGGAAGAGAGTGATCCATGGTGGAATTAAGTTTTGAAGTTGTGAATTCAGAGTTGGCCCCTTTGACTCTGTGGAGGTGGCGTCTCTCCATGGTTGCTTAACTTCTGCAGCTATGCTCTCATACGCCAAATCCCATGGACCCTCATCAAATCCTAGCTCCCATTCAGTTCTCCCCTTATAAATCTACGATCATCTACGAGAATATATTCGATAAGGGAGAGTGTAAAATGATACGAGTCTTGTTGCATTTGTTGTTTCGCTGAACTCCCAAGGTCAATGTGTAATTATTTCCCAAACATTAATAAACCGTATCAAGTTTTGACTAAAACTAGGCCGGAAGATACAGTCATTAGCGCGTGTTTTATTCACTACTCAAGTGTCCTGTTTTATTGCATAAGTATCCCCCATCGATTATTGTTTATTAATTCTGAAGGCAATTTTCCAATAGACCTTTCCGGTAATAGGTCACAACTACACTGTTTTCAACTTAGGACCACCTTAAATGGAATGGATTTCAAGTTTTTTTCTCACGGGCTATGGTCAGAGGAGCAGAACATCCTTCAACACATGCATGAAAAACAATTTTGGATTTTGACCAATAAATGTGGAAATAAGCTTAAACACGAAAACGAGACTGAGGCCCCTCGGCCTCGTTTTCGTGTTTAAGCTTATTTCCACACTTATTGGTCAAAATCCAAAACAGTTCTTTTTTATGCATGTGTTGAAGAAGAAAATTTGGGAACTTCACAGGAGTATATTTTCTACATTTTACAACATTTCGCAAACAAACTTTGCAGTTTTACTCATTCTAAGATGCTCTTTCTAGCTGTGGTGTTGGATTGCGTTCTTCTTGCCTTGATCAAAATTTAGTCTACAGCTGGAATCACCATTATACGTCAGTTTACCAAAGGTTTTACATAGCGCTGCGTCACAGAATAAAGACATACAGAAGGTCGATTCGAGTAACCGCTACCACGCCATGATTCATCATCAAAATGCTGACGCCATGGGCCTAGCCAGAGCGCTTATGAAAGGCATTAACCCCCTGGACGTCCGCCATTTTGGGTATTTTCAGGGGGGTGAATGCCTCTCAAACGCGCACTGGCTAGGACCATGGCGTCAGCATTTTGATGACGAATTACGGTTACGCCAAAATCATTGGAAAATCATAGGAAAAACCAAGTCGGGCTTCTGCATAGTCTATTCTGTGGTTGCGTTGTGAATGATATACAACAACCTGAAAATATAATATATATAAGGAGAACTTCGACGTTTTCTGAGAATCGTGTTGGAAGCCAGTGGAGCTCCATTTGAAGATTGGTTACCTTCTGACAAAAATGAAATCTACGGGTCAGTTGAGAAAACGGAAATGCTGCCAACTTTAGACGCGCTTATATTTTAATTTTCAGATATCATGTGGTGTGATGGCGATATAAAACTATAATGGACTATATTTAGTAATGCATGATGACGTGTCAAGCTGATAAATCAAGCTCGAAAATAATACAATAGTTTTGAATAATTGCACATGGTATGTTAGGAATTTGTTAACTGGAAAAACAAGTCTATTGAGATGTTAATCCTATTGAAATTAGGAAACAATAGAGGTAGACGAACTCGAAAAACTTGAAAATTCTGAAGAAAAAATTTTGGAGTCTCGTTATAGAGTCTGAAATCTGAAAAAAACAAACTGTACGATGTTCAACAAACATACGCGGCTTTGAAGTTTTTTTCCCAAAGTTTTTTTCAATGCCCGACGGCGACGAAGAATCTTCACTTAAACTTTTTCAGGTAGTCCAGACACGGCAGCTTGTTGCAGAAGACTTTCTACACGAGACTTTAATTAATCTCTTTAGACCAGGGTGAAAATATGGATGTTTATGTAACTTATTGTAAGATGAGAAATATTAACGGAAATGTTTAATATACATTTTAACCCCGCCTTCGGAATTAAATAACGCTCTGCACGTGCGCAAATTAATTTCCTCATAGTCAAAATAGATTACAAGAGTAGTGCGGACATTTTACGTTTAAAGTAATTTAACTTCTCATCATTTAAAGAAATCTCTCTGAAAAAATCGACAATAGAACAATTACTCAAGTTAGGAAAATGAGATCATTCGTAATTCATTTTTTGCCGTTACAGATTTTATGAAATACAAAACAGAGGTCACCGACCTTAATCACCTTATTTAGGAGTATAAAAATTACTTTAAACCTAAAATATCCGCCATAATCGTAGCGTGTGTGCCCAGTTTTACAGATAATATCCCAGGGATGGATCCAGCATGATCTCAATCCATCCCTGATATATCCCAATATACATTTTCTTTCAAAATACCACTGTGAAACAGACATGCATCTTTGCGATTGTAACTACTGTTACTTGGCTGTGTCCCCTCAGTATATCTACATTTCATAATAGTCTTCGTAAAATAATACTTTTTTTTTCGTTCTCTAGACTCTTCATATAATTATGAAGATATTTTTACTTATATGATGGTTATGCAAGACAAAACAATTCTGATTCTAGTTGCAAAATATAGTTATGATGAGTATGACATCATTGTTTCCAATTAATATATTCTTGCGGTTTTTTCTATGCATCTATATATAAATTGGTTAGTTATGTTGATTAAATTTCATTATATCAATAGTTTTGTTTTTGGAAACACCACGTAAATTTATTACTGCAGTAATAAATTTACGTGGTGTTTCCACAAACAAAATATCTTATGTTTTATCGCCATGCATACGTACAAAGAACTTATTAAATTTTATTAGTATTTCATAGAAGTTTTCGTCACTGTATCACATTTATATGAAACAAATTTTTCGTATCACATATTTCTTTTTGCCTTTTGGGTCAGATACTCGGGTTTATACTTGGAATGTTCAGATTTGCACGATTTTTTTCAAGATTTTATAGGAATCGTTTCTAAAATATATATAAAAATGACTTTTGAGGCCTTCTATCTCAAAACATTCCCCTAGATTCCCGACGTTGCTTCCCTCGCAAGGGCTACAATAATTAAGCGGAGCTCACTGGCTACGAGCGGAAAAAGTGGATGGCAAAGTATTTCTTATCAATTTGCAAAGCCTTCGCTCGAAGCTTCGAGAAGAATCTGTTGGAAGTTACGGGAACCACTTTGTATTTTAATAAAATCTAAAACAACGGTAACTCCGAAAATAAACATTTTAATATTCTAGCTTTCGACTAAGATTCAGTCATTATCACTCATCTTTCCTGATGATGACTAAATCTTTAGTCCAAAGCTAGAATATTAAAATGTTTATTTTCGAAGTTACCGTTGTTTTAGATTTTAAATCTGTTTAAGATTGTGGCTGTCGTTAAATTCGGCCGCGCTTTATATTCTACGCCGCAGAAAAGGCTGAACCCCGAAAGTTTTAAACGATTTAAAACTAGCAGTGGTATATTTAATACACTAATCCTCTTCTTATCATGAAGCTTTAAATAGCTAAGCATATCTCTATCAAATCGCGCCTCCTAATTTGCCTACGGAATTTCTAAAAAACTTTCCGAGACTGTATTGCATATTTCTCGAGCCATTTCCCGTATTTCTTAGCCATTTAAAAGATGAGACTTCAATTAGTTCGCGTATTAGAAGGATTTTCCTCTTCACTGTCTGGCGTTTTGACATGTTATGCCAGGGTATTGTGTTAATCCCAGTCCATTGATAGCGTCAAAAAGAAATATTGACACAGTCAGTTTACACAGTGAGAATACAGCGTCTGCAGTCACGCAATGATCATCTAGCAAAATAGGGGTAATGCTTGATTGTGTGACGATGAGTCATAGGAATGAAAGAATGGAATCGTGTATCAATTAATGCGATCGTGTATCAATTAGTGTGATCAAGTATCAACTGCATTCAATCGCATCATGCATTGTTTTTCAAAATTCGCATCAATTACGACACAAATGACGCATTAGTTATGGCATTTCCTTAGCGCAGATTTCCACCAATCAAAAGCCAGCTTCGTGTCGCCGTTGACATATTTATTCTGGCGGTAGGGTGATATAAAAACCTGACATTCTCCAAAGTAAATATGCCAAGTACAGTTTGCTCACAGTCAAACGTCCTGCTATAAAATACACATAGATATTCAAATACGGTTCCAACATGAATTACAACGACGCGTTAGGAGTAGATCCAAATGCGAATGAAAATCGGGGCAGCGCAACAATGAGTTTCAAACCGGAGCAAATCGCCTGCCTATGCGACGCACTTCGACAATCGGGCAACATGGATCAACTGAGTCGATTTTTATGGTCTCTAGCACCGCATGATCTACTGAGCGGCAGCGAAAGTGTTCTAATAGCTCGCGCGGCTGTAGCGTTCCATCAAGGAAATTACAGAGAACTCTATGCTATACTGGAAAGCCACAATTTCGATACAACATCACACGAGACGTTGCAGGAACTCTGGTATATGGCGCACTACAGCGAAGCCGCTAAGCTTCGAGGTCGGGCTCTTGGTGCTGTGGATAAATACAGAATCCGTAAGAAATACCCATTGCCTCGTACCATTTGGGACGGCGATCAGACGGTGTACTGCTTCAAGGAGAAGTCCGAGACACGTTACGAAGTCCTACCAGAGCAATCGTTACCCAACGCCGCAGGAGAAACGAGAATTGGCGAAAGCGACTGGACTTAGCCTCACACAAGTCAGTAACTGGTTCAAAAATAGACGACAACGTGATCGAGGTAGCGAGAGCGGCAAGAGGTAAGATACATTCGACTCTTCCATCAGTTCTAACATCTTCACTGAATGCTAGATAGAATGTAAAATGAGCGCTGTATAAGTGAAAGACTAGATGACTACTTGGGCCATCCAATATACTTTCTGTACTCCGATGCTCATATGCATATGTCTGGGTATCATCTTCGTCTGAACACGGTGTTAGATTTCGCTGTAAAAGCCCTCTTGCTTTGTAAAAAATCTTTCACGATAAAAACCTTGACTAAATGCAATCTAAATCTTACTACGCTAAGAATTAAGCGAGCAAATATCTTGTAGAAATGCCATTTCTCATGCGCGGCGTTACAGTTGACTTTTATCCGCTGTTGATAAAACGCGCCATATATTTCGTGCCTATATTTATATATTCCCAATTTCGACTTAATATCATATTCAAAGTAGTCATTATCCATATGGTATTAACTCCGTAGTATATCAAAGTTTGGGACGAAGCTTTAAAGCAATGCGCTTATATACAGATAATCTAAAAACAAATTTACTCGTCCGAACATATTAACACAGTGAGTCCGAGGCCAAACTGCCAAAGGCCGTGAATTTGTCTACCACCAGAACGCTAAGCACCTAACCGCAAACTCGTGTTACATTTAGCAAATCCAAGCGTGACCAACACATCTTTCAATTCAAACCAATCCAAAACCAAGAGCACAAAATTTTGAAGCTCCGCACCAAACGAAATCCAAGCACAAAATGTTCGTCAACAATTCAAGTTCGTGTCTCGTATTTCGTTGCTCAAACAGAAACGTCTCTTATGTCAAACGTTTACCAATAGTTTCGCTTTAAAATGGTAATAGGAGAATCTCACCGGAATAACTTAATCTCAGGGATTCACAATGTTTAGAAAACTGATTGAAAAATACAACATCATGTTTTCTTTAAGCCTACTTTCATTTGGTCGTTGCAGTCGCGAGGTAGCCGATTTAAAGTGTCGATTTTTTCTTTGATTGCGTTGTAAAGTAAGCGTGATTTTTCGATTAAAACACAAAGAAACAAAATAGATTCAGACTATTTCACAATTAGCCACGATCAAGCTTCATTTTAAACTAAAACCTTTGCAATTCTTCTCCGACTATATGATTTTGTAATATACAAAAAGACTTCTTCGCGCACTCGCGCAAATTTTCGCATAAAGATTCGATCTTAATGAACGATGAACAGCTTTTCTAGATTGAAATGAATGAGGATATATAATTTTGAATGAAATTCTACACCATAAAATATTATAATTGAATGAAAGTTGTTTGATTTCAAAGGCAAAGTGTAATCATTCGGCATGTTTGCACGAAGGAATCCAGTCAAACAAGTCAAACACTGCCAACTTGTGCTCACGGAATTTCGGAAGGCTTAAAAAATTTCGCTTCAGGGCAAAACTTTTAGTATACCGATATGAAAGCATAATGTTCTTTAAGAGTAAAAACCGAGTACAATTTACATGTTCAAGTCTTGATAAGAGTCGATTGAGACTTATGTTTGATCAAAATTTGCGGTGGCTTGTTCATTTTAAGATCGATTCACTTTAATTGTGTATGGCGTGTGGGAGGGAACATCTCATTTAACACAAAGATTGTGAAGTAAATATACTCCAGTTTCTTAATAATATTTGAAAATATAATAATGTGTGTCGGTGCAAATTTGATCAAATTAAGTTATGGCGCGATGAAGGCCAAAATAACGAGAGTTCAAAACTTTGCGTGTGTTGCTAGAGGCCATTTTAGTTCATTTCCGCTCAAAAATGCGCATGAGCATAGTGATTTATATACGGCATTCATGTTATGAATCTTATTCTGGAAATGTTTGTAGACTTGACAAAGCTATTAGGGAAATTATCCCAAGAATTTTTAGTATAATTTAAAATTATACAAAGCAACTAATTTCACATTGATGTTTCAAAGTAAAACTGCAGTGCAAGTGGTTTGAAATACACTAATCTGCAAGCATGCTCTGTATTAGCAGGGGGTGGGGGGGGGGGGGAGGGCATCAAGCTTTGGTTATGGTTTAGGGTGTCACCACTGACCACCAGTGATACTAGAAGGAGAGGCAAGTCTGTAGTCTTGCTTAACAATTCATAATCATGTTACTGTTTTGTCTGTTTGGTTTTTGCCTTTCTAAATCCAAAGATGGATTTAATAAGGAAACTGGGACCCCAAGGCTAGGCAAATTTAACCTGCTGTTTTAGTTTGTGTATTTCTGCACGTCTGATTATTTCAAAACTTCAGAGAACTCAACTCCGATCAATCCGGACAAGATCTCTTAAGAAATCTTTCCAAATTTATAGACAAGCTGTCAGGAAGCTAGGGTTAAGCTAATCCAGCTTCAAACAATCAGCCCCAGGGCTTTTAGTTGAGAGACAAACCACAGCATCTTATTGTAGAGCACTACCCATATTGGATCCCAACGTCTGAAAATCTCTCGTCTGAAATGAGTTTGAATCTTTTAGAAACCAATTTTATAATTCAACTTTAGGAAAGAAGATGAATAACAACAATCTTGAAGACTTTGAGCAAGATTTAATTAAGAAAGAAGACAAGGAGAACATCGTCGTTGAAACGGCCGCACTCCTGGGAGAGGGCTTTGTTGATGAAACACTGTATGCCGATGCAATTTCTGCAGAGGAGTTGGCAAGAAATTTGACGACCATTAAAAAAGAGGAGGAACTTTCTAATGCAGAAATGAGATGATGAGGTTAGGAGCAGAGGATATCTCTGACAATGAAATATGGTGACATTTTCACAAAATAGACATCTACAATGAGGCTTTGCAATAGAGACATGGCCCGATTAACGGCTTGCGGAGCAATGAAATACTAGGATTGAAGTTGGTGGTCTGCTTTTTCATTCATAACAATTTGCTAGTCATAAGTTCTTTGTAGGATTGCATGCCTATAAAATACTTTTTGTTTGTGGAAACAACACGTACATTTATTACTGCAAAGCTTTCGGTCCGTAAGCCTGAATCTTCATCAGTGCTAATAATATGATCATAATACGATTATTAGCACTGATGAAGATCCGAGCTTACGGATCGAAAGCTTTGCAGTAACAAATTAATGTGGTGTTTCCACAAACAAAAAGTATTATTTGATTTGCTAGCCAACTTGTGAAAATTCTATCAAATGTTGTATATATAAATGCTTTGCATAAGTCAAAAATCTCACACGCTGACTTTTCAATTCATTCAATTTCATTTTCAACCTTTTTGTATATTTCATAAGACATTATAGCTAAAATTGGCAAAATAGCAAAATTTGACTTATGGCAAAGTTCATTTACATCATTTGTTAACAGTAGGATTTGGGAAGAATGGAGACATGTCACTATATAAAGATGCTTGAAGAACACTTTGCTATAAATTTTTGTTAGCTTTAGCATTCTTGTAAAAAAATTTTCTAAACATTGTATAATTGTGCATAAAATTGTTATAAAATTTATCATGGATTGTTGTTACAATTTAAAAGTCCATGTGGATTGTTTTACTGAGATTCCAAAGTTTATTTGTTTATATCACAATCAAGCTGCCCTGCCTAAGATTATGTAGCCTAAGTATCCGGCTCAAACCTTAATCTAGTAGCTTTTCCACCAGCACTCTAACCAGAATTGAACAGATTCTGGGGCAGAATCTATATAACTCTACCTGCGATTCGGGCCCCAGTAATTGGCTCACGCTGTTGCGGTCACCCTGCCTATATAGTCATGTATATTATTCTTGTTATAGTATTGTGTATTGTAATATGGCGAAACTAATACATAAATAAATAAATAAACCAACTCAGCTACAAAGTCCAGTTGTCGAGCCCTAAGAGCAAGTTGAGTTTTACAGAATTTGTAAGCCAGCTGGTATTTAAACCAAAACAACACACACCCGATTGCTATCAATTGTCAGTGGCATATCACATATTTAGGGGAAAATTTTGTAGGCCAAAATTGAAATTTGTAGGCCAAAATTTTAATTTGTAAGTCAAAACTGAAAAATTGCATGGGCTACAATTTTTGAAAATAATTGAAGGACAGAAAAAATATTAATTTGTCTAGCCTGTACTAATAACTAATTTACTCACATTTTGGGTTTTGCATTTCTATACTGGAAAGTCAGCAATTCCGGCCATCCTCTTCACTTCAGCGTAAATGTATCTAAAAAAGGCAATTTAAAACTATCCAATATAGAAGTTTATCAATACATCGAAATCATCCCGCCTCATTTCTCGACCTGCGGGATCATATAAACTGCCCCTTATTCAGCAAATTGCACATGCTGCCTTTGATCCCTTGGGGGTGAGGCAGCACTTTCCTTGCGATAGTAACTTCTAGTAATCTGGTATTTTCATTTTAATTCTGAGCGAAAATTACATTTACTACCATATGCACAATTGTCAAAACCACGTGGAAATGGCCTTTAAAATTTAAAGAACAAGTACGTTTTTAAATCCTGTCTAAAATTTACAAATGCTTTATACTACAATGCTAAATATTTAACTTATAGCAAAATACAATCCCTACTTACCCTAACTTTACTGTCAAAAGTTCTTATAAAGTCCTTAAGTTCTAAAACTTTCATATAAAATGTTCAAAATGTACAAATTTTAATATTTGAATTCGCCATGTTGAAGATTTTTCCCGCCAATAACTTTGACCGCGCTATCATATTAAAGCCTGGGGCGAAACACTGATCTGTATATAATGCGACATATCCGGACTATAATTCTACCTTTTCGCAAAACTCTGGGGCCTGGGCATCTATTTCCCCTCCCCCTAGCTTCTCCCACCTTCGCCCTCCCCTCCCACCATCTATAGCCTAGGGCATCTACTCAATTTTCGTGTAATTGTTGTGTAAATATTGGCTCTTTCGCAATGGTAAGTCATCAATAACGAGAAATAGTTTATTATAGTGATTTTAAAACACTTCAGATATATACAACTTGTCATACATTTTACTTATTCACTGAGAGCATCTATCTATATTTTTTAAAAAATCATAAAAGTTCGTTAAGGCTGATTCAACTGTTGCGTTTTTCATACGTACGTATAGGCACGTAAAACTTTAAATCAGTTTAAATGTTACTTATGAAATAACCAAATAAATAAAGCAACAGAATTTAGTATTCCGCAAGTTTTAGTATGCATTTGTTAACTTATTTGTAAAATATTTAAAAAATAGAAGGATTCAAAGTTTTACGTGCGTACGAAAAACGCAACAGTGGAAATCAGCCTTAACATACAAAACACTCAATATCTTTCTCGACATCAGTTTTGGAAGAACAGGCCAGCAGAGAATGTTCAACCCTAGAAATGTCGACATTAATGGTATGCGCAACATGCTAGAAAATTAAATTACTTATATCTTTTAGGTGACAAGTTTTATTTGCTCGTCTGTACACGCAACTTTGACAATTTTTTCTATGACAAGTGCACTTGTTTAAAAGCTAGCATGCTAGCTTTTGACAAGTACACTTGTCATAGAAAAAATTGTCAAAGTACAAATTTTGTTCGTCTATACGGGTCAGCAAAGAAAACTTGTCAAAATAATCTGAGCATTTGATGTGAATGTGATTGCCCCCAGGTGATCTTGATACGCGGAAAAGTACTGGCACTAGTTGTCAAATAGAAATCCATTTTATGATTAAAACAACTGAAAATATCCTTCTAATATACTTTATTTCGATTCCATATTTTTGTCAGAGCTATAGTTCTCATAACCAAACATAATTACAAAATTTCAACTAGTTTCATAAAGAATAACGAAAGATATAATTGACTGAATACATCAAAATGGATTTCTATTCGGACAACCCTTTCTGAGCGCCGATTGGCTAAAATACGAACACGAGATCACCTGGCCAGCGACATATTTTTTTTTTGGCCTAAATAAAACTTGTCATATGAAAACTTGTCATATAAAATTTATTGCATATACACGCGTGCACTCGGCAAATAAAACTTGTCACATAAAAACTTGTCATAGAAAAGTTGCTCGTCTGTAACCGGCTTCAGCTGCACGATAATGCTGAATGAAATCCATCTATATCGAAGTTTTTTTATGTATTAAAATTGCAGGTTTAACCCATCTTTAACCAGAGTTAAGAATAGGTCATTCCATATTCGGGCTATTGTGTGATTGCATGGAATTTGTATATGCCTATCTGTATTTAAACTACACAAGTAAAAACGCACAAATTGTAACAAATTGTAGCAGATTAATTGTAACAATGCTGTTCCAACAACTTGTCAACAGGATGTGTTCGCACTGCTTGTTCCCAGTTTGTTAACAAGTTGCTACAAGGTTGTTGACAACTTGCTACAAGGTTACTGAGCTCAACAGACTTGTTGCAAGTTGTTCCAACAACTTGTTACCGTCCTGCAGTTCAGTAATGTGTCAACAAGTTGTGAGTGACAAGCTTGTCGCAACTTGATAAAATAACAGCCTTGTTACAACTTGTTGACAAGCTTGCTACAAGCCTGTTGCAAACACATCTTTTTAGTAAGTACGGTGTTCGAATATATTGTGGCCGTTTCTATGGTGAAGGTAGTAGATATAACCTCTCTTTGCGCGGCGAGTGAAGAGAACATCTGATCAGCAGTGATCACAGCAACATGGAGACCAAATGACGTACTAAACATGGGATGTACCGAGGTCTTACAGGGCAGGATTTGTGTCTTCTTATTTTCATCTAGACTTTTCCACACATCTCTCATAGCGCGGTGATGAACATAGGTAGCCTGACCGAATTTTAAGGCAACGCGTTGTTCTTCGTCATCGCCCTCTCGTGGCGTGGTCAGGCCTTTCAATGCGATATTGGCATTGTCGTCTATTTCTTTGTCCAAGGCTTTCTATATAACAACGAGGAAACATGCATTATAGCTCGATGGATTTCACTATAAAGTCAGGGTTTCCTCTTCCCCCCCGTAAATCCGCCCATGTTTATGAAAATCTTAGAAAGGGTTGCACTTTTAGTCTAACAATTGGATTGAAGAAAGACTGAGGTCATACATCTGCAATGAAACACGACCCTCTTGACACGATAGACAATACCCTTCTAAATGCTGCGTGAAAATGTTTCTACTCAGGTAGAATATGTTCATATAAGTTTTGTAATCGCCGTTAATTAGACTATATACATTTTACTTTACAAAACACTCAAATTTCTTACATTTTCCAAAGACTATAGTTCTCCAAGTACGTTTCTCTGAATTCCGAGTCGTAAGGACAGTCATTTATTCAAAGTTATCAATCTCGACTTCGCATGACAAGCAGTCAGGAGGGTAGCCTGGGGACGTCTGGGCCACATGAGTCATCCAGAGACTAAAAGACAAATGAATAGCATGATACTGTTGCTAGGAAATATTGATCCAAAATGATCTCTTGACGTTGACGTAATCAATTTTAAGCAGGATGAAATATTGATGGGAATATCAACGACACTTTTGGCTTGTTTAACAGAACAGGTCAAAAAAGGAAAGGAAATTATAGGAAATTATAGTTATAGGAAAGTTGATGATACGAATTTGAGCAGGCTAGTAACAATTAGCAATCATGACTATAATTCATGGGCACAATTATTAATAAAAATTCAATATTGAAATTACGTTTACCGAGTCATAATATACCTAAATGTACACTTTCCTACCTACAGATCTCGGACACGGAAAGTTTTACTTATTTTTGAAAGAGAATGTCTCACTAAAATGGTCTCAGTACTAGACGCTCCAGACAGTAAAATAAAATAAACTAGACTGTAACGAAGATGCTATTTTGGACTGAACTTTCGAATGAAACTGATCATTGACGAGAGTTGAAATACTTGCGATCAATCTCATGCAAACGTTTGTTTGCTAAATTCCATCAATACTTTTGCGGTTGTGGTTTAATCCAGGCTTAAATATAAATATTAAATCGAATCTGCGACTACATAATTACCTCATCAACTAAACTATCAGCAACAACAATGTGGGTGTCTTTAAGAAATCCACAAGTGAAAAACTCCGCTGTCTGCATCGTCACAGTGTATGGGTTTATCGTGTGAGCTAGAAATATAGAAGAATATTATGTTAAGTGGTAGTGATATGTTATGTTATGTTATAAGTCCGAACTCGGACTGACGTTTAGGCTCTATAAGGTAAACTAATTAAGTGGCAGTCACTTCGTGAAATATTGGGAGTGTGAATTTAGATCGGAGAGTTAAGATTACGGAGAGTTACATTCGAGCCACGCCCACTTTTTTCCAACAACCACAATTCGATTATTATTTTAAAGTTAACGCCGATCATGAAACTCGGCGATTATTAATTAAAGGACTTTTAGAATTACAACTGTGGATTATTAGATCGATCGAAAAGTAGCTTGTTAACAACTAGTAAAGTTTATGAGAGTTTTGTATCCCTTCCCATCTACAGCAAGACTAAAAACACAATACGATTAATACGACGTAATCAAGAAGACTTGAAACAAGCAAGTAGTGTTAACTCTCTCTTGGTACTTTACACATTACGGTATATATATTGTGTTTTAACCATCATACTCTGTAAAGCCTTTCTCAAAGTTCAAAGACACTTTAAGACAGTATAGTGAGTGATAGTATAGGGGAGACAGTATAGGGGAGTCAATGCCCCTAGACGTGTAATGCCTAGGGGACTAGTCTGATTTTCCTTCAGTTTTGGTCAAAAGTAGATTCAGGGCCGTATAAACTTGGGTATAACAGCTGGGGGGGGGGGGGTGAACTTGTTTTAATTAATATTTCTTTTCCTACAATTGTAAAGGATCTTCAAAAATAATTACAGTATCTTTGTACAAATTAGCCTGCTCCCAACTCAAAATTTCGAAAGTGAATTAGGCCGCAAGCACTCGCTAAGTGTAAATGATAATGTTCACATATATATTGAGAATACTCAAGTATTCTTACCTTGAAACTTTTTATTGATAATTTCTCCAGCAGATGGACGTTGTTCAGGTTCCCAACATAAGCAGCTGTCATATAAATCGTTCAGAGGTCCTGTGCCCAAGTTCTCCGGGTAGTCGGGTAAAGCCTCATTCATTCTCTCCACACCGGCTGCATGCGACTCTTCTGTCGCCCATGGTTTATCACCAGTTACCATATAATGCAACACTAAGCCATAGGAGAAGATGTCGCTCTTCATGAATGATCCAACTTCATCTGTGATTTCAGGGTCTAATACTATTATAGCACAATCACATCATCACCAATTCATTTATCTAACCATTGCTGTTTAAGTATTGTGATAGCAAAATTAATTTAATAACAATTTGTATTGTTATATTGTTAGTGTCAAAGTTCAAATTTTCTGTTTGCCAATTGGTCAAAACCGTGTCACGTGCCGGTACACAAAACGTCATGTTCGGCAACCGGTCCGCAATCAAACATTTATTGACAGGTCAATAATAAAATGGGTGCAATACGCATGCGTGTCAACCATGAAGTTCCAAAGTTCATTTTTTAAACTTTTTACTGAACTGATTTACGGCGTTATCCAGTTTTGGTTTTATTCATACTTTGACACTTACATACTATATAACAAAACACTTATTTACTGAGACCTCGGGAAAGCAGTGTGGCCCCTTGACCGCCGTTGTTGCCCTTGACTTTGCCTCGGGCAACAACAGCGGTCTCGGGTCCACAAAACACACTGTTTCCCAAATGTTTTGTGGACCCTTAAGTGCCAATGCTCAGCTGTTGTCGACTGACAACATTGGCAATCTCAGGTCAACAAAACATACCACACTGTTTCCCTTGCTCCCAGTCGATAAGTGTTAATTATTTCATGATTGACTCGGTTTTCTTTGATGTACCGCGGGCTGTATATAGCATAATGCCCTTGAATACCATACAGCCCTAATTAGTCAAGAAATAAGCGAGAAAACTAGAAAAATACTTGTCGAAATCGAAAAAAAAGCATAAAACTTTGTTAGAAAACCTCTTCAATCATGAAATAAGCCAGTTAATTACCTCGAATGTCGGGCTTTATGCTATATAAAGCCCTCGAACGCTTCGCGTTCTCGGGGCTGTATATAGCATAAAGCCCTCCTTCTCGGTAATTAACTCTTACATATCACACACTGTTGCCCTCGCTCCCAGTTAATAAGTGTTAAATATGACAAAGTACCATACCAAGACATTCTGGTGCACACCAACGTTGATGTTGTTGCTCATTTTCTTCTGGGTTATTTGGATTTTTCAAATGCAGTGCCAAACCAAAATCTGCAAGTTTGAGCCGCATTCTTGTCACACCTTTCTCTAACTATAAAAATAAACAAGATAAACCATTTTGTTCATCTGATTGGTTTATTTTTATTGGTATTGTTGAGCTGAATGTGTTGGAACTGCCTGAAACAACCAACTAATAATGAGTCAGTCCCAGTCAACTAGTTACCGTACCTCTTGCAACATGTATGCTGTTCGCTTTTCACCCCTTAAGTGGCAATGTACCCTAATGCATCCTACCTTAAAATTTTACTCTGTCAAACACCAAATAATTTTACTCGTCAAGGGGAAATTAGTGGTGCTGCTCAATGGGTTAAGCAGATTATCTGACTCTTTAATGGCAATGGACCCTTATGCCCCTACTTAAGTATAATTTTAATCTGTCTGATGCCAGATAATTTTACTGATCAAGGGCAAACTACTGCCACTCAATGGGTTAATTTTTTTCATGCGGTTCCAATACCACATTTACCTATGATAATACATATTACATGTACTTACCAAAATGTTATCAGGTTTCAAATCTCTATGTGCGATAGAAAAACTGTGTAAATAATACAAGCCACTCATGATCTGCTCTCCAAAGTCCCATACTTGACTTTTCGGTAAACCTTTTACTTCAGGAGATTTTAAATTTTCCACATGTTTGCTCAGATTGTCAGGAACATATTCCATAATTATCATGAAGCTACCTTGTTTTAAATTGTAATCTGGTAGATCTTTTTTGAGGGAATCCATTCCACGATACGCAACAATGTTGTCATGCCTCAATAACCTGACAAAAATGAAATGTTTTTTAATCATTGGATTGGTGGCACAGCTAGTGGTCCATCTAACTCTGCTTCTGTTCTGGGGTTCAATTCCTGCAATTTTGTCTGATCATAGCATACCATATGTTAACATGAGAAGAGTGCTTCCAGTTTGACTCTACCAAGTGCTGCAATCAGGGGCGTGGCAACTGGGAGGCTTAGGGGGGTGCGACACCCCCCCCCCCCTAATAATTCTAAACTTTGAAAAGTTGGTCAAAATTTGAAAAGTTGGTCAAAGGAATTATTTAAATATTAAAGGAAATATTATATTATTTACAAAAATTTTAGAAAATCCAAAATTTTTTCCAAATTTTAGAAAAATTTCCTTGATAAACGGAGAAAATTTTTGATATTCGCAAAAATTTTTTTATCCCTAAAATGGTAGACCGAAAATTTCTTGGCGACGGGGTGGGTTAGCAAGCTGGTAATTATGGTATGATGCCCCCCCAATCAGGAATCGTTCGCCACGCCCTTGGCTGCAATTAAGTTGGTTTTGACCAGTAGTGAAGGCCGTTTTCCACTAGGCGAATTTTGCACACAGAGCGGAATTTCTGTTTGTCTTTTCTAATTAGTTCCACCCGAGAAACCACAAGACAAAGAAAAATTCTGCTTCACACACAAAATCAGTCAAATTTCAAAAAGTTCAAATTCCCGGGGTCGGCCCGGGGGGGGGATGGCGAAGTTTCGAATTGATCGATACATTATTCATACATTCCTATAAAGTGTCTGTATAAAGGGTGGAGAAAATGCAAATTTATACTGAGCACACAACAGAACAAGGACAGAGTATATTGTCTGGCTGAAACCTTACGATATTGTTGATATATTTGCAAATATTAAGGCCATTTAAACAGCTCTAAACACAATACCACATCACGTATTACTCTACCTTGACTGCTCTGATCCAATACTAACTTTACATGTTGTTTTATCTTGACTTGATACACGATAATATCTTGCAATTCTTTATAAATAAGGTCCTCTTCAACAAGGTATAAACTTACAGGCCAGTGGTCTAAAATATTCTTAAGTTTTTCCACACATTTATCTATCATACCCTCCACGTTGTCAGAATCAAGAATGCTTTCACATAGACCAGCAGGCATTGCTTTTATAGCACAGTTTATATCATACCTTTCTTTCGCTTTCTTCCAGTTCTTCCAAGAACGGTATGGTGTTTCCGCCATCAAACAGCAAAATTCCCATTTTCCCAACGATGGGAATTAGCAAAATTAATTAAACAAATTGATTATCTATTGAGATTACTGTAAATTACCATATTATTTTGCTATACATGTATGAGTTTCTGACCAAGCAGTAAAACCTCACCTGGGTACGAGGTTGGTAAAACCCTACATTGACTACATTATTCCATCCTCGTTCCCAGGGCTTCTCGGCTGCCTGCGTTTCTTACAGCAACGCAGGCAGCCGAGAAGCCCTGGGAACGAGGATGACATTATTCTAGAGTAACGTCTGTACACAGGCTACATCATGCTAGTGTTTTGCCAATGCCACATGATAACTTTCCGTAGCGACGTGAAAAAAAAATCTATCCGTACCTTTTAGGAACGCTATTTTCAGAGGAATTATTGCAACGGAGAGATGTTGTTTCGCTCAGCTTCTGAAAGTTGTACATTCCGGGGCCATCGGATAGGTGCTTTTTCGCGCCGTTACGGAAAGCTATCCGATATAGTGGAAACGTAGCCAAAAATACTTTCAAAATTTACATCACAACGGGGGGCAACAGTTTTGCCGGGGCGGGCCGCACCCCTATGTGTATGTTGCACGTTGGACTTATGGTGACCACCCCACCTCGTTTCCTTCCGCCGATTAACTGGAGGAATCAAATGCCTTAAAAATCTTCTCAACTTCCGAGACTCCGAAAAACGACTGCATTACTTTGACCACTACCAGCTTCGTAGAACTAGCAAAATTGTGAAAATTCTCGCGCACAAAATCAGCCATTTTGTCCAACTCAAATGGTACTCCTTTAATTAATTCGTGTTCGAACTTGTCTTTGCAGCTTGCTCCTGTAAATCTGGACTGTATAGACGCATAGGTAAGACGACGTTCTGGGGCAATTCTCTCGTCAGATAGATCAACAAATCCACACATACCCCACTCGTGTTTGTCATATTTTAGATAAACTGTTGTTAGACAGATAGCATCTAAATCTTTGCCTTTTAAAACAACCCCTAACTCTTCGTTCAAGCCTCTTGCTGCAGTCTTTATCAGTTCTACGTACGTTTTATCACCACGTGTCTCGTCGTAGTCTTTCACAGAGCAACTTTCCACTGCACCACAAGTGAAGTCCCCTGGGCTGGCAATGCCATCTGAAAAATATTTTGGAAGGTTTTTAAGGGTGGTCCAGCAAACATAGTTATTTAGGTCATTCCGCACTAAGAGTGAGAGGAAAGAGGAGTACTCGCAGAGAACCTGTGATGTTTGATACCGTCAAACAAAATAATCTTCTCATGCAGTTCGCACATGCAACTACTCTGAAAATATTCTGGTCACAGAGGTATTCAGTGTTATCATGTGAGCAATATGATTATATTATGACTAAAGTAATATGATTTTTTCTGTGTTGGTGTTATGTACTCAGGTGAATATGATGTTTGTGACGTTACTCTGAGTGTATATCCACACCGGGCAAGCTTGAAAAATATGCCTGGCCACGGTGGGAATCGAACCTACGACCTTTGGAATACTACCCCAATGCTCTGCCAACTGAGCTGCCAAATAAGCTTTGGAATACTAGCCCAATACTCTGCAAACTGTAGCTCAGTTGGCAGAGCGGCTAGTATTCCAAAGGTCGTAGGTTCGATTCCCAACCGTGGTCAGGCATATTTTTCAAGCTTGCCCGGTGTGGATATACACTCAGAGTAACATCACAAACATAAAGTAATATGGTTGGCTAATTTACTCAATGAATTATGAGTTTGAGATTTTTGTTGTACGTAAGGAAATTGATCCTGTTTACCTTTCATAGAGCGGCGTGTGAAGAGAAAAATCTGATCAGCGGTGATCACAGCAACATGGAGACCAAACGATGTACTAAACACAGGATGTACCGAGGTCTTACAGGGCAGGAATTGTGTCTTGGTATTTTCATCTAGACCTTCCCAGACATCCCTCATAGCTCGGTGATGAGCATAGGTAGCCTGAGCAAATTTTAAGACAACGCGTTGTTCTTCGTCTTCTCCCTCTCGTCGTGTAGTCAGGCCTTTTAATGCGATATTTGCATTGTTTTCTATCTTTTCGGCCTAAATCAGAGAGAAAAAAGGCAAAGGTGAGGGAGAAAAACCGGGGTATACCCGGAGAAAAAACCCTCGAAGCACGAGTTATCAAGCACACATCAAGTTAGAGCAGGGAAGTTGCCCATAAAATTCAAATATCTCGAATAATAGTTAGAATATAGTACAAAACATAATACAAAACATAAACATAATATAGTACAAAACATAAACATAATCTGTACTATATTTGTACTAAATTGTCGGCTGGTATTGGTTTTTAATAGTTAGAATAATAGCATAGTATCGACGCATTCCAGCATTGTCTTAAATTGCTCTCTTAACTGTAAAATCAGTTGAAAACACAGTTCAAAATGCTTACCACCCGCCACTCATCATGTCTCTGGCAGTAAGTTTGAAATAATTCAGAACCTAATAATTCCGGACACTGATCACATTCGTCTTTGTCAATCTCGACCACGCATGATAAGCACTCAGATGGATACCCTTGGGGACGTCTAGAACCACACGAGTCAACTAAAGACTGAAAAAAATTAACGCATGAGTTAGGAAACCTTTAAACCTGTCACTATATGTACTGTAATATCCATATGTTAGACCAGACTCACTATTTGGGTGGTCATATACTGACTCGAATATACATTGAATGCAAACTATGTATACAGTTACGTCACATTGACACATAAGTACTTGACATCACACAATTAGAATGTACTCTGCTGACTGCTGAGATGTACTCCCCGGATTACAATGTACTCCCCGGATAGTCCCGCAGAGGATGAAGATATTTCATTGTTTATGGACGATACAACTCTATTGGCATCACCCAACATGTGTCCAACTGTCAGATTGGGAACTCTCAACGAAACGTGGATAACATATTGCAATTTACGAGAAATCAAAATATGGAACTCAATTGGTAAAAAGTGTAAACAGATGCTGGTTGACTTCAGGAAGGTAAAAACTATAATCCCGTCAATTGCTATTGGCGGGGATATATTCACAAGAGTAAAATCATTTGAATTGCTGGGTGCTTGGATGGACGACGATTTAAAATGGAATACCATTACAGCCTATATTACAAAGAAAGCAGTCAAACGATATATCTCTCAAATTTGGAATGGCAATCTTACAGTTGAACAGAACAATGATATGGAGAGATTACAAAGCGGGTGCTAAGAATAATCCTCCCTGGTATGATGCATTACGTCAGTCCAATTTGAAAACCCTAAAGGAACGTAGAGATGTTATGTGTGTTGACATGATTAAGAAAATGTCAAACCCCGGCCATAAACTTCACCATCTTCTGCCAATGACGGTTTCACAATTAAGAGAGAGGGAGACGAGGACAAACGGCTTAGAATATTATAATTATAATGTGTAAATTTCTACTACATAATACATATATTTCTCAGTTAACTACGATTTCAAGGGAGCATATAAACCCTGTTGTCTTTACACTGACACTGCAGTGTTTTACCGGCTGACTCGTCCCCAGTCGCTCTACCCGCGCTGAATGAGTTAGAGCATTCCCTTGCTTGCCAACTCTCGTAGTCATACACAAGGTTTTAATTCAAAACTCAAATCACATCTACTACGTAATTACCTCATCAACTAAACTATCAGCAACAACAATTTGTGTGTCCTTGAGAAAACCAAAAGTAAAAAACTCCGCTGTCTGCAGCGTAACCGTGTATGGGTTTGTCGTGTGAACTAGAAATATAGGAGAATATTATGTTAAGTGCTAGCCTGTATACGTTTATATATTCATATAAAAATGCTTAAGTAACTATTTTTACCTTGAAACTTTTTATTTATAATCTCTGCAGCAGTCGGCCGTTCTTCAGACCCCAAACGTAGACAGCTGTCATATAAATCTTTCAGAGGCCCTTTGCCCAGGTTCTGTGGAGGTTCAGGTGCTTTCTGTTCTTCCCTTCTCTCCATACTGCCAGTTAGCATATAATGCAAGACCAAGCCATAGGAAAAAATATCGCTCCTCATAAATGATTCAACTTCAATCATGGTTTCAGTGTCTAAAAATTAAAGTTAAAATACTTGTAAAAATAATTAAAATAAATTAAAGTTAAAATACTTGTAAAAATAATTAAAATAAATTAAAGTTAAAATACTTGTAAAAATAATTAAAATAAATTAAAGTTAAAATACTTGTAAAAATAATTAAAATAAATTAAAGTTAAAATACTTGTAAAAATAATTAAAATAAATTAAAGTTAAAATACTTGTAAAAATAATTAAAATAAATTAAAGTTAAAATACTTGTAAAAATAATTAAAATAAATTACAGTTAAAATACTTGTACTGGTGGAACTTTATCGCCTATTAACCCAATGAGTTGCATTGCGTCCTAATGCTTTATTATTTTACTCTGATTAACGCTAAATTTTACCCAATACAATTCGTTGTAGGAGGCTTTTTGAAAGAAATAAACGGCTATGTGCTGCTGAAGGTACCACTCTCATGGGGGGAGGGAAGGAATCTGAGATCGTCCCCTGTGACGATTTGAAATATAGACCCTCTGAAGTGGAGAGTTATTCGAGATTCTGTCTTATTATTGAAGCATTCGAAGAATATTGTTTAAAATTTATGTTAAAAAAAAGGAAGGAAGAAATATTTTGGGTTATAATTTTGATAAACAGCCAGCAATTTTTGAAAATCGTCAGGTGCCGACTTCTGCTGGGAATCCAGACTTGTGAAAGGGAGAGCATCGAAACTCAATGGGTTAACCAATCATATGAGAATTAGATAGCATACCAAGAAGACATTCTGGTGCACACCAACTTCTGTGATGCTGGGCTTCATCTTGTGCCAGGTCATTCAGATTTCTCAAAAGGGCAAGACCAAAATCTGCAAGTTTTAGCCGCATTCTAACACCTTTCTCTAACTAAAAAAAATAAACAAGGCTTAAATTCTATCATATGTTAGGTACATTTATAAAACTGACCTCTCCTTACTGTCACCTTTTTAATATGGACTCTGTTACAGACACTTCCCTAGTAGAGACACCTCCTCAATAAAGACAGTACTACAGTACAGTACAGTACAGTACAGTACAGTATCCTATATGTAATGATTGAGAGACTTCCTCATGAACATCTCTCTAATATGAATATCTCTCTAATATGGACACCTCTCTAATATGGACACCTCTCTAATATGGACATCTCTCTAATATGGACATCTCTCTAATATGGACATCTCTCTAAGGTGATTGCTAGATAGTATACTTCAAAATAAGGTTTCAGTTTTTATAACATAGAAGAAACTATCCTAACGCAAAACTAAACCCTAACCCTAATACTAAACCTAACCCTAACCCCAGCCTAACCCTAACCTAAACCATAACCTAACCCTATCTTATTTTAAAAATAGAATAAAAACGAAAATCTTATTTTGAAGTATACTATCTAGCAATTGCCATCTCTCTAATACGGACATCTCTCTAATATGGACACCTCTCTAATATGGACACCTCTCTAATATGAACACCTCCCTAATATGGTCACCTCTCTAATATGGACACCTCTCTAATATGGTCACCTCTCTAATATGGTCACCTCTCTAATATGGTCACCTCCCTAATATGAACACCTCCCTAATATGGACACCTCCCTAATATGAACACCTCTCTAATATGGACATCTCTCTAATATGGACACCTCTCTAATATGGACATCTCTCTAATATGGACATCTCTCTAATATGAACACCTCTCTAATTCTCTCTAATATGGACATCTCTCTAATATGGACACCTCTCTAATATGGACATCTCTCTAATATGAACACCTCTCTAATATGGAAACCTTTCTAATATGGACACCTCTCTAATATGGACATCTCTCTAATATGAACATCTCTCTAATATGGACACCTCTCTAATATGGACACCTCTCTAATATGGACACCTCTCTAATATGGAAACCTCTCTAATATGGACACCTCTCTAATACGGACACCTCTCTAATACGGACACCTCTCTAATATGGACACCTCCCTAATATGGACACCTCCCTAATATGGACATCTCTCTAATATGGACAACCCTCCAATATGGACATCTCTCTAACATGGACATCTCTTTAATATGAACACCTCTCTAATATGAACACTCTCAGCTCTCTGTTAATATGGGCACCTCTCTAATTAGCGTGGGGCGGTTTCTACAAAAAAAAACGAAAACCGACCCAAAAGAACTGAAAAAAACCGGGTTTTTTTAAAAATATGTTCGAATATCGAAACTACGGTAAAAAAAGTCACAACATGCTACTCGGTACTCACACAAGATATCAGACGTAAGGTATTTTAAGACATTATCAAATTTCAAACAAATTTCTTTAGTTTTTCGTGTGTAAATGCTTGATTCATTTGCTTGATTCATTTCAGAACTTGATTCATTTGCAACAAACTCATATAAGTATCCCCCCCCCCCCCC